GTACATCACTAATTATGACGAGTGAGGAATCAAGAATCACTAATGACTATTTTGTCATTCACTGATGATGATTTAGAACAATTATACATCACTAATTATGATGATTTATGAATTGAGAATCACTACTGATAATGTAAAGTGATTAAATTCACTTATGGTGATTCAGAGCAACGTCACTAATGGTGATTTAGAGCAGCTGTATGTCCTTATTTATGATGAGTTAAGCAAATCACTAATTATTACGACAATCACTATAACTGTTATAGTGATTGTCATCCACTAATGATGATAAGTCAAGTAGACGAGTACATATTTATCAATGATTGAGAATATGAGAGTGGTTTTCTGTTACTTTTGATGATTTAGAAAGACTGACCATCAACAATGATTACTTAGAGGTATTTTCACCCTCATGATGATTGTTGTGATTTCATCTTTGTTTTACTTCTTCTGATTTAAAGAATATGATATTGACTATTCAAGATATTTGTACTTTTTGTCATTCATTAGACATCAAGAATATGGCGTTCATCTTATCTTACTAATATCATAAATGTGAAAGTTTGTGTGTTTGTTTGTGTGTTTGAAGTTCAATCACGCATAAACCACTGGACGGATTGGGCTGAAATTTGGCATGATGATAGCTTACATTCCCGATTAACATATAGGCATATTCTTGTCTCAAAAATCCTTTCGGGCTCCGCCCCAGTGGCTCTGTAATTCCCCATGTTAACCTTATGAGTATTCATATTTAAAGGGAATTAAAGAATTTAGTCAGCTGTTTCAACTAAAAAAGTTGGTTCTATGATATGGAAAAGCATTAAAAAGTTATAAGATTTACCAACAGGGTGCAGCACTATATCTTTTTTGCATTTATGAAAACAGCTAATTTGAACTAAGCAGCAACAAAAAACTGTGATTTGCAATGAGAACTGTCAAAGTAGGATTGTTTACAGTTATGTTTATGTTTTTCATTTTATGAATAATTTGTGATATTTTGCAAATAGTTGATAATTTATTTTTCTCTATTGTTTAGGTGAAGTGGTAGAACATTATGGCTATGGTAGATTTGTAATACTATAGAGTACTGTAAATTTAAAAAAGCAAATTTTATCAAACTGTGTCCTCCCTTATTGCAAATGCAAAGCTTGAGTGTAACTGCAATAAGCATTTTATACTTATATTCCAACCCCGTACGAAGGACGGGTACTCTGCTAGCTAGTTATTAATAATTTAAAGTGATTTTTCTTACTTATAATGATGGACTGAAAAGAGAGAGGTTTAAATTGATTTTTAAATTAGACATCTAGAATAAAATTGCCCGTTAACATACTAAAATATATTTCTTCTATGCTAAGACAACAATGGAAATAAACTTGATGAATTTTTGATCACGTAAAAAGCACCAAAGTAATAAGATTCAGAGTGTTAGAAGAGATTGCTAAAACAAAAAGACTGGCCACAACTCATGCCAGCAACAATGTGCAGGACCCTGGTGCACAATATCTCTATCAATATCTGACATAGAGTAACTGACGACGTGGGGAGAGCCCCATACCTGCATTGTGCTCCATGTGAAACTGTATAACACCTCTGTGGTTCGGAAACAAATATTTCTAAACAATTATTGCCTTTATAGTTTGTGTGAGCTTACATTAGTAGGCCTAGTGTTTCTTCTCTTATTTTGGAGCAGATTTGTATCTTATGAAGCAAATTATGAAATTACTAGCAGAGTACCCGTCCTTCGTACGGGGTTGGAATAAGTATAAAATGCTTATTGCAGTTATACTCAAGCTTTGCATTTGCAATAAGGGAGGACACAGTTTGATAAAATTTGCTTTTAGCGAATTTCCCTATAGGGAAGTAGCTATTACCGTAGGTGGAATGGTAAGACCTAAGCCCGGGAGCTATTTATTTTTTCATTTTGATGTCCCCAGAGGCCAAAAACACCATTCGTTCAAATTTTTATATATGTATATATATATAGATTTATATATATATATATATGTGTGTGTCCGTGAACGCGATAACTTGAGTAATTTTTGTCCGATTTTGATGAAATTTGGTTTAAAGGTGTAAAGCGGGATAAACTTGAATGAGTTTGCGAACCAGCATGATCGGACCATGGGAACAGGGCTTTACGGGGGATTTTATGGGGTAAAAATTGGTTTTTCTCACTTTTGACCCTCAAAACACAAAGTTTCCCAATTTCTCTTTATACCTGTTTAAAGAGCTTAAAAAAACAAATAATTTAGTATATAAAAGTATTTTTGTACGGTTATTGGTAACGGAGAAAATTTCAAAAATTGTAAATTTAAAATTCCCATGTTATTCTTATGGAGAATATTGTAAAATGTTGTAGTTTGGTTGTTTATGGATAGATTTTGATCAAACTTGGCAAACTTATTTATTTTGTACTAAGCTATTAATATTTTACTAAAAAACACACTCTATTAGTTTCCTTGTAGCAGCAAACCTAGGTACTCGACCTATAATGTTATTTAAATATATTTAATTGAAAATCAATTCAGACAAATGGAAATTCACTTAGTTGTCAGGTTTGCTGCGACGGGGGTATTTTAAATTTACAGTATTCTATAGTATTACAAATCTACCATAATGTTCTACCACTTCACCTAAACAATAGAGAAAAATAAATTATCAACGATTCGCAAAATATCACAAATTATTCATAAAATGAAAAACATAAACATAACTGTAATCAATCCTACTTTGACAGTTCTCATTGTGAATCACAGTTTTTTGTTGCTGCTTAGTTCAAATTAGCTGTTTTCATAAATGCAAAAAAATATAGTGCTGCACACTGTTGGTAAATCTTATAACTTTTGAATGCTTTTCCATATCATAGAACCAACTTTTTTAGTTGAAACAGCTGATTAAATTCTTTGATTCCTTTAAATATGAATACTCATAAGGTTAACATGGGGAATTACAGAGCCACTGGGGCGGATCCCGAAAGGATTTTTGAGATAAGAATATGCCTATATGTTAATCGGGAATGTAAGCTATCATCATGCCAAATTTCAGCCCAATCAATCCAGTGGTTTATGCGTGATTGAACTTCAAACACACAAACAAACAAACAAATAAACATACAAACTTTCACATAATATTAGTAAGATTTGTATTAAATAATTTATGAGTAAAAAACTTTTTTAAAACAAAACGTTTTTAAATGCACTAAAAAGTAGAAAATAATTTATAAATATGTGGAGAGGATAAATACTTGTAAGATTTAAAACGAAAAACGTGGGGTGCATGCAATAGATGATTTACAATTACCTTCACCTATTGAACTAATGTATTATTATCAACTGCATGCACCCCACGTTTTTCGTTTTAAATCTTACAAGTATTTATCCTCTCCACATATTTATAAATTATTTTCTACTTTTTAGTGCATTTAAAAACGTTTTGTTTTAAAAAAGTTTGTTATTTATAAATTATTTTCTACTTTTTAGTATTTAATGTGTCTGTATGTTAAATCTATTTCATGCATCTATATCAGATTAGGACAGAGGCATGTGGGAAATCTAAGGTTTATTTGAGTTTCTTTTTTTTATATAATTATGTATTAGATTGAATGTATGGCCTACCTACTAACTATAAATATATCAACCTATTTAATTTATTGTTTACTTTATAGAATACTTAATAAATCACAAATGAAATTATTAACAAAGACCTTTATATATGCAATCAGATTGTTTATCATTATTTTGAAATGTTTGTTTGTATAAAGAATCTCTTGGGAGCAGAACCTGTACCTCTTAACCTCTGCTTTTTGAACTGTCAAATTTAAGTATTTACAGCTGACTTTAATTAATTGATATATTTACATTCTTTCAAAATGTAAACAGAAAAAGATTGGAAGCCAGTGGGGCGTAGCCCAAGGGAAATGTGAAAATTAAATGCTATAATATTGCATTGTCATCCACTTGTGAGCTATGTTTCAAATTTCAAGTCTCTAGCTCATCGGGAACTTTGTTTAAAATTGATATCAAAATTTGTAGGAAAGTGAGCTAATAAAAACAAGCTCATTTGGGCGTAGCCCAAGGGAAATATGAAAATTAAATGATATAATATTGCATTGTTATCCATTTGTGAGCTATGTTTCAAGTTTCAAGTCTCTAGCTCATCGGGAAGTATCAAAATTTTCAAGAAAGCGAGTTAATAAAAACAAGCCCGTGGGGCGTAGCCCAAAGGAAATATGAAAATTAAATGATATAATATTGCATTGTCTTCCATTTGTGAGCTATGTTTCAAGTTTCAAGTCTCTAGCTCATCGGGAAGTTAGTATAAAATTGATTGCAAAATTTGTACCGGACAAGAAAGCGAGCTAATAAAAACGTTTTAATGAAACAATCTATGTAAAATCTGTCCATGATCGATGGACTGCTAAAAAGTAAAGGAGCTCATTTGAATATGTTATATTTTTTTCACAGCTGAGTGGTTATAGTGCTGGCCTTTAGTCACTGGTTTAGTCCTGGGAGAAGTCTGTAACTTTTTTGTGGAAAGTGGACTCAGCTGTATTTGATCATTGGACTTTTAATAAATTGTGACAAATTGTGGATATTTATAGGCATGCACTGTGGATGTGATACTCCCTGGTGTGGGGGGGCAGTGTTACTATGACTACCCGCAGTAATATCCTGATAATTAGACCAATTCGTCTATACCAAGGCAAAAATGGGGTTCGGATTCCACTATAAACTGTAGGTCCCTTAGTTGCCATTGGCTGTATGGGCTATTATTAACAGCGGTGTCTAAGAACATGTCGGCCTTAGTCACTGATACATATTTCCAAAGACTGTCCCTATTTAATCCAGCTGATCGTTTCATGTCTTCTTCTTTGCTTCTTCATAAGTAATGAGTGCCCTGGCCTGTCTGGCCTCTTACGAATCTATCGGGATAACCAATTTTGCAGCAAACTGTACACCTTTGTAAATCCCAATTGACTCTACTCGCACATGTTTCAGCTACTGATAGGTTACGAGTCTGGTCAGCTGGTGCTGTGGGACTTACGCACACGGACGGCAGAACTGCGGTGGCACAGTGCCGAGCCACTCAAGTCCGTCACCTGGCACCACGAGGGCAAACAGTTCATGTGCTCACACACCGACGGATCTCTCACCACTTGGAACGTACGCGCCAGTCCTAAACCTCTCAATGTCTCCTTTCCCCACGGTGAGAAACTCTTTTACTATTGTGTTTGGTCTTAGTGTGTCATTTGCTTTTATAAGTGTTGCACAGAGAACAAGAAAAGCTGGGGTTAAATAGTGAGTGTGAATTACCCTGAGAAATTATGTAAACAAACCATTAATAAATTTGTTTATTACTGATCTATAAGGTCATCAGAGCATATAGTGAACCTCCAGCATGACCATTTATGAATTTGTTATCTATACATTAATAGGCAAGTATGTTTCTTTAAAACCCTTTTTCTCAGCTTGAGGACATTGCAGGGAAAATCTACGCATATTGTTAGAAAGATATTTTCCTGTAGGCGTGCAGAACCCCTTTTATAGGCTAAAAAATAAGCACAAAATTACTAATTGATGAATGATCATTTATAATTAATTTTGAAAACAATAATTACTACCCCAGTAGTAGGCTTATTTAATTAGTAGTCTGATAAGAGACAACATGGCAGCCTTCTAGTTTTCTAATTCTTAAAAAAATACTGTCACAGTAAACCTAGTATGCTTTTATATTATACTGTAGTTTGTAATTCTAGTGACAGTTAAGTTGAAATTGATTAAAGCTACAGAACTTTCTTTGCTTAATCTAGCAAGTCAAATTGGATTCTGAGGCTTAGTCATGTTGAATTAGCCTTTGAATCTGATGACAAAGCCAATACTGAAGTTCAGTTTCTGGGTGATCCATCTCTGGTGCCTCAGGAATAAATTTTCATTAATCATAATTAGTGATCTAGAAAGAAATAGACATGATTATTTTGAGTATATAAAAACAAATTGAAACCAAACCCATAATTTATTATTAGTAAATTCCCATTTAGCAACAATAGGGCAATGATTTTTATGCTGCATAATAAAATACGGTATCAAAAGTTTCTGAAAATGGGGAGACTATCATTCACTTATTATGTTTTTGCTCACTTTCAAAACCATACATATTGTATGTTTTTTTGCATTATTTATTCTAAACGTGTCTTTATTACACATTGATTTGTCAACAAAATGTAATAATGATAAACAAAATTTATATAATCCCAGATTCTAAATTTAGAATTTTACATTTCTGCTGCCATTATTATGTAAAGCCTGCCACAAACCGCCATGGAATTAGTAGTGCTAGAAATATTTATATTTGTTAAAAAGAAAAAAAAATGTAAATTTTGTTTGTTAATTTTTGTGAATCAATTGAACCTCGCCGACAAGTTTTGCAAACTTGGCGAGGTCAAGATGTTGTATTATCACAAATAAATATATTTAAAATGTTCAACCACCCATCACCGGTATACACATTGTAGGCTTACACTTATCGGTATATGTTCTCCAGGACTTGTAAAGTTACATTAGTTGTATGGTTATCTTGTAGGCATATTCCTGGTGAAGAAGTTTTACTTTAACGTTTGATGATATTTCTAACTACATTGACAAATGCTTCAAGCTACGCACACATAGCTGCTCAAGTTTTCAATTTATATTTTGCTAGAAGCAGCATCAAGTTTCCTAACAACTCTGTTGGTTTTCTTGTCTCTTTTTTTTCAATTCCGTAAAATATCAAGTTAATTTCATGATTTAATTGACTATATTACTTGTATATTTTTTTATTACTGGATATACATACTTGTATTTTACCATTTTATATAATTTTTTATTCTTTATGCTCGTAATGCATCTCAATCCAAGTCTTCTTTATTCATATTTATTCAAAATATAAAGTGCATGAATAAAATATAAATTTTTAGTTGATATAAAAAAAATAAACGGACCTTTAAAGGTTTATTTTTTTATTAACATGAACGGTAACAGAACAGAGTTCATTTTATTATGTTGAAGACTTTTTCCCTTGAACTGTCTCTATCATGTGTGTGTGTATTTGTCATATTTTTTTATATTTTCTTTCTGTTTACTTTTTTATTACATTGTTTTATTGCTCATGTTAACATGTTTTCTCATTTCTTTATAATAATTTTATATATTTTTACTTTTTCCAAATCCAACATTAGGCTATAAATAATTATCACCTAGTTAAACATCAATATTAATATAAGAAAACCAGTGGCAAAGTGTAATTAATCAATGGACACAAAGTCACATTAGCTGATAATGGTGTAATATTTGCTTAAACCTTGATTGCAAGGGTTGACAAAGAGAAAATCTACATGTTTAAATAGACGGGGTTGAAAATGTTGAAGCAATTACAATTTTGCTGTTTGCCCAATTTAACAGCTCTTTGTTCACTTATTACAACTGCGAGCGAATCGCAGCAAACATCTGTGAAGAAAAGAAATTAGTTGTACAGTCGTCCTTTAAATCTTGAATTCTTTCTCTCTCAAAAGAATTTTATTTGCTTTCACCGAGGATAACTCTTTAGCATTAAATCAGACCCTGTTAAAGCATTCTGCCTGTGTTACAGCCCTCAAGATACGACTTTAATGCTTCCTTTGTTGTCACTACATTCTGTAATTTGTTTTTTTTTTTCCAGCAAAAACGAATAAAGATGGAAAACTGGAAACCTGTAAACCTATACAAAAAGTAGAATGGAAATCATCAAGATCGGGGTAAGTTAAAGTGTTAGAAATAGTAATATTTTTCTTTTTTTTCAGAATGAAATTCAATATTTTTTTCTGTAAATGATGCAATTTAAGTGTTGGATAAAAATTTATTGTATTTATCTTTATTGTTTACTAAGTGAGGGAATAGTTATTTGTGTAACTAGTGGTGAAAGTGGCACTTTGCTGCACACGAGAGCAATGTTTACGCACGAGCCGCAGGCTCGTGCGGAATGATCTCGAGTGCAGCAAAGGCCTTTTTCACTTGTGTAACACATTATATTTTTCCTACAGTCACTATAAAGCATATAAATAATTAGTCTTTCAAACACTATACAACACGTTTTTAGGTTCAGCTGGCAACACAAATGGTGCCCTAGAGAAAGTAGTACCCGCGGTCCGTATCACTCCGCTATTTTTCCTCGGCAAGAAATGTGCTCCGCGTTTTGAGAATATAGTTCCGTATGTTTTTGTAATTTGAAGTGGTTTCCGCGCCTAAAAAAAATGCTTTAAAGGTATTTTTTTGTTTATTAAGATCGTAGGAATGTTTTAAAAACATTTAAAAGAAAAGTCCAGAAAGTTCAGAAATACCGAAACTATAAAAACGAAATGACAGGTTAAATCGTAGTTATATTAGTCAATCAGCTGCTCATAGTATTATTATCTTTAAGTGTTGCCAACCTATTTCCAAGCGTACACGGATTATGTGCATAATAGAACCACGCTGTTTTGTATTGTTTCGTTGGAATCCTGATGTGCGGCAAAGTATAAACCGTACGGAAAAGTATAAACCGTACGGCAAAGTATAAATATGCAGCAATTAGCAGCTTTCTGTACTATAAACAGTACAAGGAAGCCAACTTTGCCGGGTGACTGTAGGAAAAATATGTTTTTGTCATTTTTTCATACCTACCCAATCAGTATACAAAAAGTTCAGTCAGTAAAAGATCAGTTTTAATCAGTATGCAAAATGGTATATTTCTTAATTATTATCAAAAAACATGTTTTACCTCATATATATGACTGATAAATTATATAAATTTAAATTTAATTTAAAAGTAAGGAACAAGAAGTAATTAACTGTATAAAGTTGAATTTGCTTTTTTTTTAAAAAAATCTGTACTTACTTGGCAGTTCTGTTTAATATTCGCTTAAATGAATTAATGGAACAACGTTTTTGATGTTCAATCAACTGTTTTGTCAAATTGGATTGAAAGGTCTTAGTGATGTTTGAGCTATTAGCTTTGGGAAGTTTACAGCAAAGCCAATTCCAACTTTCACATTCTAGTTCTGTTATCTTTGTTGCCTCAGGAATTGAGAGTCTTGTAGAGCTGGATTAATATTGCTGTTTATACAAAAAAAGTACAACTAATAACTGTTCTATTGTTGAAATAAATAATGTAACACTCAGGCAAAGTTCGTAGAATAAAGGCAATATGAATGGAAACTCTAAATTAAGAAATTTTAGTAACGAGAAGTATTGGACAATGACACACAAAACACAATTAATCGAAGTTACCTTTAAGCATTTCTTGTAATACTTCTTTAGTTGATAAAGTGTGTAAAATGAGAGTGGCATTTCAGTGGATGGTATAGCCAGTGCGAAGTTCTAGAACTTTGGTAATCTCTTTGGATAAAGTAAGAGTTTTGACAGGCGCACCCTGACATCCTAGGACACTAGGTTCTAGCCCTAAATCATGTAACATATTATTTCAGGCTAGGTGTAGAGATTGTGTCGTTGTCACTTAGATCAAATTTATGGGTGACCAGTAGGATTTGAATCCAGTACCTCGGAGGCCGAAGCCTCACGCTCTACCACTAGACCAGCTCATTCCTCATCAAAGCTTCTAGTAAGGTTATGTTTGTTATTGGTTGTGGAGTAGTTCAGGAGAGAACCAAAGGTCCAAAAGACTAATTAAAAAACATTATCTCTAAAGATTTGCAGTTACTAAAAGATTTCCTGTTTGCAGAGAGGCGTATGTGATATTCTCGGGTGGCCTGACGTACGACAAGGCAGGCAGGACGCCGAGCATAACAGTGATTCACGGAAAGACGACCACAGTGCTGGAGATGGAACACAATGTGGTCGACTTTATCACACTGTGCGAGAGCCCGTGGGTTAGTGGTGAGTAGTGATGTTTGCACTATTGGCGAGATTTTAATCACTATAAACTAATTAGAATAGTAGTTCATAATTTTTTTTAAGTAAAATTTTGAATATATTTATATATTTCTTATGAATTTGACGAATGTTTAAATAATTATTACTGGAAGACTAAATCGAAAACATTTTTGATTCACTTATGCAGTAAAATGTAAAAGATAATTAAATAAATTAGTGCACTCTGTTTTAATTAAGTGTCTTTCAATTAGCATAACTGACAGCACCTGAACTTGAAAACATGCATGTTAGTAAATACAAAGCTCAGAGGATACAATGTTCAATTACACCTTTAAATCACTCACAACATAGCAAAGTTTTAAATAATTACTGAACACACGTGTTAATCCAACATGTTTAAGGTAAGGAATTTACTAAGACAACAAAATGTTTATAGCAACGCTATAATAATTATTTTTTAGTTGGAAATTGTAAATATCTATGAAAAAATCCACTTTAAACTATATTGTTTATAGCTGTTTAAAAGTATGTGTAAAAAACTGTGCTCAAGCAAGAAAATTTGTTGTTCGAACACAGTTTGTTGTCCGCAACAGTTTAAAATTTAAATACTTGAAAACTTTTGCTAAGTTCTAATAATAATTACACCCTTGCCACCTTTATACATGTTAATATACGGTGTTTCAAAAAGAATCATTCGATTTCTTAGGTTTATAATTTGAAACTAATAATCATATTTACATGAGGTTAATTTTATGTTAAAGATTAACTAATATACGTTTTCATACATACCATTTACAGTTGCTCAGTATGGCACCCTTTCATTGCACAGCATGTACAACTTGCAATAAACACTTAGGCCTAGATAGAAAAAAGTTTTGAAAACGCTTAAGAGTGTCTTGTAGTCAATTCAGTTCCTGACCATGATAATTCTTTTAAATATTTGCTAGCTCTTACCGCTTTATAGTTATAGCCGTTTAAAAATACCGTGTTTTGTCGTTTTCAGATGTCCGCCATTGTTGGATTTTTGAGGGGGATAAAATTTGAAAATGGGACGTTTTTATATTTTCTGGATAGTTAAAGGTGACGTTCCACACCTATTTCAAATTTCAAGTCTCTCTAAACGGCCCAGATGAGCATACCAAAGTCGGTCACATTCAATGCTATTCTCCTCAAGGATAACAGGGGAGGAAAGACTTGTTTATAATTGATTTTCCTTTATAATAATAGGAGTAAAATGACTACACAGTATGGTTTCTAAAGTCCATAGTGGAAGTGATGTTTATTTACAACAAATAATAAACATAGCAATCACATGGCATATAATTAACACATGACAGCTGCTTCTAACTTAGTACCAAGAAGGCAATGAGGAACAAGATTATAAATAAATTCCAACACCCCTCCTTAATCTTGGTCCTTCATTGGGGTAAGACCAAGGTCGGTCATGAAATTATCATGCTTGATTTTGCCAAGTGATTTTGTCAAAATGTCCGCTACCATCCTGGAAGTTGGAACGTAATTCAGCACAACTAGTTTTCTCTTGATTATGTCTCTGACAAATAACTGTTTATGAATTATATGTTTGGTCTTGTCATTCACGGTTCTCTTCTGCAAAATCTTCATTGCTGGCATGTTATCACAATGCAAATTTACATGCTCAATAAATATTCCCAGCTCTTCCAACAAGTGCTTCAGAAACATTGCTTGCTTACATGCCTGAACCATTGCTACAAACTCTGACTCTGTTGAGGAATCAGTCATGCATCTCTGTTTCTTAGTTCCCCAAGACACAGGTCCTTCACTCAGTTTAAAAACATATCCCGTACAACTTTTCCCATCAAAGTTGTTGTTTCCATGACTGGCATCAACAAAACCATGTAGAGATTCTTCATCAGCTTGCTCCTCCACAGCATGCTTCCACAAATTCTTATTCGGATCTTCTATTGCCTCTTGATAACTACTTGGCTCTAGATCCTCACAGGTAACCATGTAGGTAACAAAATCAGGAAACATTTTAGGTTTTCTTACTCTTAGAGGGTACCTACTCCCAACATTAATTTCAACACCTTCCTCATCATTTCCCGAATCCCCTTCAGCGGATCCTCCAGTTCCAACATCGTCATCATCTTGCTCAATGTTGATATTATCAAGAATGAAGCTCTCCTCTTCTGCCTCAGGATTCCTGCAGGGTTCATCGAGTTTGGCGGTCTGGATGCTTACTATGGTCTCGACTGGTTGTATAGTTTCATCACCATTATTTTCTTCACGCCCATTATAAAATAAGTTTTCAAAAAACTTTACATCTCTAGAATAAATCAATCTACGGGGAGACTTAGGATCAACCAATTTGTAACCTTTGACATCCTCACTGTAACCTACAAAAATGTGAGGAACACTCTTATAGTCCAATTTGGTCCTTCTCTCCTTATGCACATGCACATAGCCTATGCAACCAAAAACTCTAAGGTGACTGAGGTCCACTTTCGAACCAGTCCATTTCTCCTGTGGCGTGACTCCAAAAACAGCTTTTGTAGGACTTCGGTTCTTAAGATAAATAGCTGCCTCCACAGCATACTGCCAGTAACCCTTGCTCAAATTTGAGTCACTTAGCATGCTTCTAGCCTTTTCAATAATAGTTCTATTTGCACGCTCTGCTACCCCATTCTGCTCAGGACTGTATCGAGTAGTAACCTGGTGCCTTATTCCAAATCTATTACACACTTCTTCTAGTCTCGCATTCATGTAATCCCCGCCTTCATCTGACCTAACAGTTTTTACAGTCTTGCTGGTCTGATTTTCAACTAAAGTCTTAAACTTGAGAAAACAATCAACTACTTCATCCTTTGATTTCAAGAAATAACCAAAGGTCATTCTGGTGAAGTCATCAATAAATATTAGCATGAAGCGATTACCTTGAAGAGACTGAACATTCATAGGCCCACAGACATCCATATGGATTAACTCTAGTTTTGCCTCAGCTCTCTTACTTGGAGTGGTTGGGAAAGATTCTCTGGAGTGTTTCCCCTCTACACAGGGAATGCAAGATTCTGGCCTCTGATTAGGAAAATCTATACCCAAAGCCATCCCCTTTTTCAAAATACCCAAGTGATGTTTATTTACAACAAATAATAAACATAGCAATCACATGGCATATAATTAACACATGACAGCTGCTTCTAACTTAGTACCAAGAAGGCAATGAGGAACAAGATTATAAATAAATTCCAACAGAAAGTCAAAATTTCGGGGCGTTTATTGCATACACCATTTTGACAACTACTGAGCTGGCCGTTGACAGAAGCACGCTACTGCAACCTGGCAGAAACTCATTGAAAATCCAGAAATCCTCTTTCCAACAGAGTATTGTTTGATCAAATTGGATTCAAAGATGAGTAGCTAAATGAATTTTCAAAATTGGATGATTCTTTTTTTAAACACCCTGTATTATATTTTACATGCCCAGCAACATGGTTATGCTAATCAGTTTCAAATTTGAGTGTTTTTGTTTGCAGATATGCAAGAGCCGTATGCAATAGTCGTTTTACTTCACAATGACCTGGTCGTCATAGATCTGCTAAGTCAAGGATTCCCCTGTTTTGAGAACCCTTACCCAATGGATCTTCATGAATCTGCTGTTACCTGTTGTACTTATCTGGCTGACTGCCCCAGGTATATCATCAATCAGTAATCAATTAATCAATAACAAAAATCAATCAATTATCCTATCGAGAATAGCAACACCAATCCGATCCAAACAAGAGTATACTGTATTGTTGTTTTTCCAATATTGTACAACAGTTGATTCAAGACTCCAAGTATTACATTTTTTTAGGCAAGGTAGACATTGTACTATACTATTAATGTTGTTGTTAATTCATACAAATATTTATGGTTTCTTTATAAGTTGTAACATTTTTTCCAGTGACCTGATACCTGCGTTCTACTCTGTCGGATCACGCACACAGAAGAGGACAGGCTTTAGTGAGAGAGAGTGGCCGATATCCGGGGGAGAATGGAGTCCTACATCCTGTAGCTACAATGAGATCATCCTCACCGGGTGAGTCTGTCTGTTACAGTTAATGTCGATCAATTTCCTTGAGTTGTAGTTTGCCCTACAAAGAAATTGCTGCAGCCAGTAGTCTGCTCTGTACGCCCATTCGGAAACGGAACCTACCCAAACATAACCTCCCGTTTTGGAACCTTCTCCTTTTGAAAGAATGTATTTAGAGGTTGAGGTAGCATGAACCGTGATTAATGCTTCTTTAAAAAGTGTAACAAGTGGTGATATTCACCATGTACCTTCCTTCCTCCATTCACTCCATGAAACCACCCCGATCGGTTTAAAGAACGCAAAATGAATTTTTTTAGCCACGTGTTTTTGCCGTGATGCAAATTATGTGCAAACTTACTATGTGATATCTTGGAAATGATCGAGCTCTCATTCGTGTTGCTCTTGCTAGTCGCTGCATGTGTGCGACGTCAGTCTCATTCGCTCTGCTACGGCTCGCTCAGAATCGCACCGCCCGCTCCGCTCCTGGATCGCTGTATGTGTGTTTTTACCCTAAGTGTAAATGGACTTTTAAGCCACACTGTACATCAATTCAGTTAAAACTACGATGTTAAATAAAATGTAACAAAATAGACGTGAAAACTACATTTATACAGCCAATAATTTCAAAGGATGGTTAACTATTTCTAACAACAATGTCCCTATCTGTTCAAACTCAGTTTTAGTAGTTAGGTTATGCAAGTGACATTGATTGCGATGGCAAATTGTGTTTCACATTATCAGAGATGAGACAAAACAATAGAGAATGAGGGTCGTGCAAAACATGTACTAGACATTGAGAGGGGGTTGATGGGGGAGAGAGAATGTTTGTGTGTGTGTTGTTTACATGAGTGTGCGAGACAGCTCATTACATTTCTCCAGACTAATAATAAGCTGGTGTCTCTTGCTCATTCTCCTATCTTTTCACTCTTATTCAGATTCCCATTTTTACCATATGGCTACACTTCTATCCATTTTAATATTATTTTTATTGTTATTTCAGTGTTGCTATTTTTTCTCAAAAACTATTTTGACAATTAACTGTATTTATTGATTGACAAGTAGTGGTATTTTCATTTGGTTCTCCCCGAATGAATTAACATAAATTATCCCGAATGAAACTAACACGTCACATTACTAATATGTAGATGGTGTGCTAGTTTTGCACGTATTATCTAATGATATCTAATGATTGACTTTGTGGCGTCAACTTAGCCACAGCTGTGTTGCCTTTAGTCTATACTTTATTTTAATATTTATTTTGTAACAGCTGTAGCTTGCTTTTGTTAAATGTTCAGTTTTTGACTATGTTATGATTCAACACACCTCTTGTTACATTTGTAAATAAAACTTATCAAAATATTCGTTCATATAGTGGTGATATTATTTCATACAGATTAAACACCCTATAACTTTAAATAAATCATATTTTTAAAATACTTTATTGTCTGCCCCTTTGGTTATCAATTTTATGTCTATTTGATCATATTAGGTGTAACATAGCTTTTACTAGGGAGGTTAATTTTTTGCCATGGTTGATTTTTGCTTTTAAATAATTGTTTCAGGCTCATCCCTTTATTACTTAATTTATATTTTTACTAATCCATTGTCTTTTGAAACAGGCATGCTGATGGTAGTATCAAGTTTTGGGACGCTTCTGCTGGCACCTTACAAGTGTTGTACAAACTGAAAACCAGTAAGGTAGGTCACAAGTAGAGCCTATAAAAATATAAGATCAGTTGATACTGAAAGTAGATTTCTCGTCCTAGTTTGGAATATGTAGTCGGATTGGTGTGTGTTTAATGTTAAATACGATTTAGTGCACTCGCCATACTAAATGTTGGGTAAATTTTAATTTACACTCTCAGGTTAAAGTTTGCTAGAAGAAGTAAGTAAACATTTACTTACACCGAAAAGAAACCTGCTGTAAACTATTTTGTATCTGACGAGATATCTAGATAGCATAGTATGCTTTGTATTTCGCTATACAGAGTGGCTGAAAAGTAACTTGCACCCCCACTTAACTTTTCAACCATTTGAGATATTTGAAATCAGTTTGCGGCAACCTTCTTAGATATGAAGGGCTACAATAATTATGGTCAATTTTGAAAATGTTGCCCTTCAGCGGGAATAGAGGGTAGCTCAAAATTTTCAAATGACAAGTATTGTCAAGTTTGGTATAATTTTACAGGTCTTGAAGAAACATGAACATTGACATAAAGAAAACCAAAATCGGCTCACTAATAACAAAATGGCGCCCTAAAACGTTTCAAATCCAAATAACCATGAGGGTGGCAAAAAAATTAACTTGCACCCTCTTTAACTATTTGAGATATTTGAAATCGATTTGCGGCAACTTGTTTGGAAATGAAGGGCTACAATAATTATGGTCAGTTCAGAAAATTTTGCCCTTAGGGTAGGCCTAGCAGGGGTAGGGGTAGCTCAAAATTCTCGAATAGCAACTATAGTCGAGTTTGGTATCATTTTGTAGGTCTTGACGAAACATAACAATTAACATAAAGAAAATAGAAACCGGACCATAAATAACAAAATGGCAGCTAAAAATTACTTTAAATAACCATTGTCTCAATCATTTTTAGCTGCCATTTTGTTATTAATGGTCCGATTTATATTTTATTATGTTAATTGTTATGTTTCGTCAAGACCTACAAAATGATACCAAACTCGACTATACTTGCTATTTGAAAATGTTGAGCTACCCCCTACCCCCGCTACCCTAACGGCAAAATTTTCTTAACTGACCATAATTATTGTAGCCCTTCATTTCCAAACAAGTTAACACAAACCGATTTCAATTATCTCAAATAGTTAAAAAGTTAAAGAGGGGGCAAGTTAATAATTTTGCCACCTTGGATTTGAAACGTTTTAGGGCGCCATTTTGTTATTAGTGAGCCGATTTTGGTTTTCTTTATGTTAATGTTCATGTTTCGTCAAGACCTGTAAAATGATACCAAACTTGTTTATACTTGTCATTTGAAAATTTTGAGCTACCCCCAACCCCCGCTACCCTTAAGGGCAAAATTTTCAAAATTGACCATAAATATTGTGGCCCCTCATATCTAAGAAGGTTGCCGCAAACCGATTTAAAATACTCAAATGGTTGAAAAGTTAAGGGGGGGGGGGGGTGCAAGTTACTTTTCAGCCACCCTGTATATTGTAACAGTGACTAATTTGTGTCAAGGTCAAGTAGGTAAAAACGTTAAAATGTTCAGATAAAAATGTTAAATGCAATTGGCTTGTAAATAAAAAAGAGAATGTTGGGAATGCACTGGCAAATTGGTTCATCATAAAAGAATCATGTTCATCGTTTGATGATGAATTATAGCAGTTTGACACAGTTTGGAACTTCTGTAACTTCAGGAGTGATTTGAATGTCAACTAATGATGAGTGATCATTGTAGCTGTGTGTATACATATAACTCAGCTAGTTTGTACATTTGATGAATCATGGTTTAAAACAGAAGATGTAAAAAGAATATACATGTGCTCACAAGTTAGTGGAACAAAGTTTTGATAGGTTCCGGCAGAATTAAAATTAACGTTACTACATTTTTTCCCCCCATCTTTTAAATTTTCTCTATGTACATTTCAATGCTTAAAAGATGAAGGGGCTCAAGTACATATCCCAGTAAGCACAACTTAGTAAATAATACGTATTATTAGAATCCAGCTAAGGTCAACACTGAGAGTGTGTATACACTTAATATACAATACGTAAATAGAACGTATAGACGTCCCATTCCAGTGTGTGGATATACGTAAATCTTTGGTCAACGTAGACGTTTGTTTACATAAACAATAAGTCAATAGGTCAACATATATATTCGTTTATGTAAACTATTCGTCAAAATTAGAGTAATGTATACGTTCGTTTACGTAATCTATACTTCAATATTAGATCAACATTTACCTAAACTGTACATCAACGTATAGGTTCATTTGCGCAAAAGATACTTCAATTTTAAATCTATGTATACATTAACATGACATCAAAAAACCTTCAAAATTCATAAAATTGCTGTCGGGTATTAAGGAAAAATTATGGACTGTGGGATAATAATAAAATAAGACTGGGTCGGTGGTGTCGTCCTGTAATCCAGCTACTAGGAGGTCACAAATTGTGGATCATCCTACACTCATATTTGGGTTAAATACGCACATAGTGGGGTCCCCATCTTAAATAATTGATTGATTGATTGATATAACCCGTGTATTGTAAAAGAAAAATCTGTAACTCACACATATATTAAATGGTAGTTATCAAATAATAAAACTAATGTGAATAACAGAGTAGTAAACATAACCTTTATCAAAAATACTTCATTTATTATAAACTTAAAAATGACAGGTACTAAAGGACAACACTAGATAAACAACAAGTAATAAAGTTGATAATATACACATTTATTATAATAAATTACAGGTTTTTTTCACTGCAATTCTGCAATAGTTCCCGCTTATTTTTGTTGAATATCCTTGTTCCAGCTTGTCTGAACCATTCCTTCACCCTTCCTTCAAAAGTTTTGATTGTGAAGGTGTGAGGATGCGATGCCGCTACAACTTCTGAAAAAAGTGTGTTGTTTATATAAACCAATTGTTGTTTATATAAACCTTATCTTAAAAACATTTAGCTATACAGTTAATAATTGTTATACAAATTTCCTGCTGGTGAAAACTCGTAAGGTAACGCAGGAAATTCCGCCACCTTAACAATTGACAAAGTCCCAGGAATCGCACGAGTCGGGTTGTTGGGATTCTCCAGGAGTCGATAGTGAATAGGGTAGCCTCAGTGTTGATAGTCTCGGTTAATCAGAGCTCCGAACAACTAAAGTGTCCCTAGACACCACCCTTATAGTCACCGCCCTAGTCAGAGGAGTTTGTGGGGAACCGATAATTTTGACGTGACTCTGTGGGTACTAACCACTTAACTACAAACTTATACAAGCTAAATAATCTAAGTAGTTTCACCCTGCTTACCTTCAGGGTTAAACGTGAGAACCTGAAACAAACAATGGGTTAGAATAGGCCTAGCCTATGTCCCACAGAGTATGAGTTTACCAAAAAAAAAAAAAAAAGAAAGAAAGGTGGCTTAAGTTGCGAGTGAAAAAAAGAAAAAGTATAATCGAAAAAATTAAACTGCTGCTTTACGTGTCGCCCTCCGGCTAACTGATTGGTAATAGTTATTGGTCATTTTTATGCGCTTTGTGTTTAAGATTTTTGTAAAACTATTATGTTTCAATGTTTTTAAAAAATCTATGTGTTTGCAAAAACGAAATGAAGATGACGATGTCCGCCTAGAGATGATCCCATGTGGATCATCAAAATTGGTTGTTTTTCAAGGTTACAAGGATCCCTTGACAGCAGGTAATTGCAACAGTTATTAAATTTATTAAAAAGTCACGTTAAATTGTAAGTCTTTAACTTCCTATTAAACACATTTAGCTAATGGTTTGTGCCATGGTACAGCCAGACTAAAAATAATTGAATTTGTATCTATTAGGGAATATAATATGTGTCTGTTAGCATGATAAATCCAGCAAAAATGATCAAATTTTGATTAAATTTGGTATAAACCTGTATACCTACATGTAATCAAAAAAGTTCGCCAGCCAGCATGATCGGACTGTATGAAAGGGAGAAAGGGATAAAAATTGGTTTTACCCATTTTCCCTCTAAAAAATAGGGGTGTAAAGTCGAGAACCTTCGTGCTTTTTGGTTGAGCTTTCCATTATTCGGCTCAACTAGAGGCATTTTGAAAAAAACTCAAAGTTCGAGTCGACCTTTTATTAATAAGTAAAAATACACTTAATTTTTGTCGTAAATGAAAACAAAGTTCTACGTTGTTCATGCATTTGTTTTTCTTTAGAGCAAATATTGTTAAGACTCGTAATTCAAGTCTCAGACTGAGACTCAGAGTAGACAGTTTGTTTTGGTGAAGCAAAACTCGAACAGGAAACCAGGATCAACTTGCAGAGCTTAAAATTACCGTAGACTTCTAATTTATTACCCTATCCACATAATATAAAGTTGTACCAACGCCAATTCTTTACAAAACCGAACACAATTGTGATTTTCTTGTAAATATTAGAACCTCGATTATCTTGGGGCTGATCAAGCGATTCCAAATCTGGCCAAAAAATATTGTTTTGTAACTAGTTTTATACTTACAACTTTTGCGTAGAAACTGTTATATTACTAAAAATGCGTAATTTAAGTCAATCAATCAATTTTTAAACAAACACGGCATGATTTCAATATGTGTTATATATTTCTAGTTTTTGAGACATTAGCGGTTTGTTAAGCACGAACCTCGGTGAAGTATACTAACTGAAATCTTGTAATGTTTAAACATGTAATTTATTTAAATTCCTATCCATTGCTTACCTACGTTTGTATAATTGAAACATATAGCTATGTTGGATAGAAGGATATGAAAATATAATTAATCCAGATATCAGCCTGTAAAATCATTATATACATAACGTGAACAAACTTACTTTGCAAAACTTTTATAATTGCAAGGTTGCTTAATGGCCTCTTCCCTTTTCTTCCTTCCCAGCTGAAGCTAATGGCAACCTCATTGGTTATCGTTCTCACCAATATCCTTCTCACAGAGTCCTCAACAGAGCTACCACCGACTCTTGTACAGAATTCGCTCTGAAAAAATGTTAGTAGGAATAAAAATAAAGTAGTATTACCAAATCATAAATTAGAATTGTTCAAAAGAAAAACTTCATACAACGGTATCAGATTCCTAAATCACATACCAGATCACATAAGAAGCATGCAGGATGATAGAGGTTTCAAAGTGAAATTGAAAGAATTTTTGATACAGAGGGCACTTTATTCATTTGATGACTTTTTTAAGTTTAGAACAGATAATAGATCTTAAAATTCAGACCAACCATTGCAACCTGGAGTAGTGTGATCAATACTGTCCTACTAATAATTTTGATTGTAGCCTACCTATTCATGTAATTATTTTTATGTTAATTGTTTGACACTATTCATGTAAACATGTATTTACAAATATGAATAAAGATCTTTTGATTTGATTTGATTTGATGTTAGCTACTCATTAATGAAATCTCCAATAAACAGCTTATCATTAGTCCATAACATCATAAAAATGTAAAATGTAAATCATAAAAAGTACTAATTCATCAAAATAAGAATTAGTGAAATAATATGATGTACGGCAGGATAAATTCAACCATGGACAGAACATAAACAAAGTAGCAAGGGTTTTACCAGAGCAAGTATCCATTTTCGATAAATATCCAGGAATTTATGAATAACCTCCAAATTATCACTATGTGCGTATTTTAACCCTTATGAATGAAGGATGAGTGGCGCGATCTTTTAGTCTTGTTAGTGACTAAGGCCGGCACATTCCTTAGACACAGCTGTTAATTAATAGCCCAAACAGCTAATGGCAGGGACCTATGGACACGGTTTATAGTGGAATCCGAAACACATTCTTGCCTTGGTAAACGAATTAGTCTAATCATCAGGATAGTACTGTGAAAAGTCATAGTACTGTGAATAGTCATAGTACTCACTAGTGCGGACATTAATCCACACCAGGGAGTGTCGCATCCACAGTGATTGACTATAAATATCCACAATTTGTAACCTCCTAGTAGCTAGATTACAGGACGATCCCACCGTCCCAGTCCTACACAATAACACTAACATGTGCGTGTGTATTAAAAATATCCTATAGATTGAAGGAGTAGACACTATCTATTCTTTAATCTACGATAATCCTTAAAGTGATAAAAGTTACCTGAATTAAAAAAATAAACAAATAGGTAATAATATTTTTTTTAGTCCACCAAACCCACTTTTTAGAACATTATGTCCAATTTACACATCATAGGCAGCTAAAAATGTATTTTTACTTATTAACAGGTTTTACCTCAGCCAGTAGCACTTTTGATTAAGTGATATAACTTCAGAATCAGAATCGTTTATTGCTGCTAAACATATACATGCAATGGGCAAAGTCACATTTAAAATATCTTAGCCAAATTAAAATTGAACAGATAAACAGGCTTAGATCTGATCACAGAATGGTGACATTGAATCGTTAAAAGTGTTCTCCAAGAACTCTTCGGCATTGTACATAGGGTTTTTCACTAACCAATCGGACAAAACTTTCTTCACAGTGATATAACTCCATCACATCTGTTTATGAAAGTGAATTTAACTCACCATCAAATTTTTTGTCTCGTCATCTTTCAATGACTCATCTAGCTCGATGAAGTCTTCTAGTGTGTTAATAGGAAATTTTCTACCAAACTCCAACTGTAATGGATTGTCGATCGCAGTCATGGATTGAGGAGCCTTGGCAAACTGTGATACTAAATCCCTCACCTCCTTCATCTCCTTCAGCATCAGCTGCACCGTTCTTTCCATGCTCTCTATTTGTTCTGGAACATAGTTAGCACAAACATTAACAAAATTTGTACAACTTAAAATTTGAATCCTCTTTAATTTTGTGAGAAAAATGTGTCATATGCGTATATTAGGCCAAATTATTATAGCTATTGTAATTAATGATGAACGCATGATAAATTTTTACCTTCCATTTTCTTCATCTGTTGCTGTTGCCTACACTCCATTCCTCCACAGGTATTGTGAGATGTTGACGGTGTCTTTGCTACATAGAGCGAACTACCTAAAACCACAGCATATTTTATGATCCTTGTTAATTATGAACTTGCAAAGCTCTGCTATCACTGTTTACAAATTATTCTTCCTTTTTTTAGCGAATTTCCCTATAGGGAAGTAGCTATTACCGTAGGTGGCACGGTAAGATCTAGGCCCGGGACCGAATTTACTTTTTCATTTTGATGTCCCCAGAGGCCAAAAACACCGTCCGTTCAAATTTTTATGTATGTATATATATATATATAGATTTATATATATATACTAGCAGAGTACCCGTCCTTCGTACGGGGTTGGCATATAAGTATAAAATGTGTATTGCAGTTATACTTAAGCTTTGCGTTTGCTATGGGGAAGGATACTGTTTGATAAAATTTGCTTCTTTAAATTTACGATATACTATTAGTATTACACATCTACCATAGCCATAATGTTATACCATTTCACCTAAACAATAGAGAAAAATAAATTATAAAACATTAGCAAAAGATCACAAATTATTCATGAAATTAAGAATATAAACATAGCTGTAAACAATCCTACTTTGACAGTTCTCATTGCGTATCACAGTTTTTTGTTGCTGCTTGGTTCAAATTAGCTGTTTTCGTAAATGCAAAATAAAAACAATAGTGCTGCACCCTGTTGGTAAATCTTGTTACTTTTTAATGCTTTTGCACATCATAGAACCAGCTTTTTAGTTGAAACAGCTGACTAAATTCTTTAATTCCCTTTAAATATGAATACTCATAAGGTTAACATGAGGAACTACAGAGCCACTGGGGCGGAGCCCGAAAGGATTGTTGAGATAAGAATATATGCCTATATGTTAATCGGGAATGTGAGCTATCATCATGCCAAATTTCAGCCCAATCTGTCCAGTAGTTAGTGCGTGATTGAACTTCAAACAAACAAACAAACAAATAAACACACAAACTTTCACATTTATAATATTAGTAAGATAAGATATACACGTCCATGAATGCGATAACTTGAGTAATTTTTGTCCGATTTTGATGAAATTTGGTTTAAAGGTGTAAGGCGGGATGAACTTGAATGAGTTCGCGAACCAGCATGATCGGACCATGGGAACGGGGTTTTACGATGGCTTTATTTGAGTAAAAAATGGTTTTTCTAATTTTTGACCCTCAAAACACAAAATTTCCCAATTTCTCTCTAAACCTTTTTAAGAGCTTACAAAACAAATAATTTAGTACATCAAAGTGTTTTTGTACGGTAATTGGTAATGGAGTAAATTCAAAAAATTTTTAATTTACAATTCCTATGTTATTCTTATGGAGAATATTGTCAAATGTTGTAATTTGCTTGTTTATGGATATATTTTGATCAAACTTGGCAAATTTATTTATTTTATACTAAGCTATTAATATTTTACTTAAAAATACACTTTATTACTTTCCTTGTAGCAGCAAAGCTAGGTACTCATTAAACGTAATGTTATTTAAATAGATTTAATTGAAAATCTATTCAGACAAATGGAAATTTGCTTAGTCAGCAGGTTTGCTGCGGCGGGGGTATTTCATATCATGTTATTTATACTTAAATAGTAGCTTCATTGTTAGGCGGGCAAGACAGATTTTACTTCTCATTTTTTTACGAATTTGCTCAAACGTAAGGAATTTTTGAAGACAGGTAATTAATTATTCCTGTACAATTTGATGCACGATTTAAGTTTCTATTAAATGGTTATTTTTATTTAATGACTAGCTGGCCCGACAGACGTCGTCCTGTCCTATTGTGGTTTTATGTCACATGCTCGTTCATTTCCAAGATGAGCTCGTTCGCATGGCTCAATAACGTCCTGGTTGAAGTTCGTTCGCTACGCTCACTCACCTTTAGGTTGGAGCTCGTTCGCTGCGCTCACTTGCCTTCAGGTTAGCTCGTTCGCTACGCTAACTCGCCTCCAGGTTGAAGTTCGTTCGCTACGCTCACTCACCTTTTGGTTGCAAATTAGCTGTTAGCAAAAAATATAGTGCTGCACCCTGTTGGTAAACCTATTAACTTTTTAATGCTATTGAACATCACAGAATCAGATAGTTTAGTTGAACCAGCTGTTAAGATTCTTTAATTCCATTTAAATATGAGTACTCATAAGGTTAACATGGGAAACTCCAGAGCCACTGGGGCGGAGCCCTTTTGACGGATCTGCACCAAACTTCACACAAACCATCCTTGAATAATGCTTAATAATGCCTGAAAGTTTCATTACAATCTGTTGAGTGGTTTTGGAGTCCATAAAGGACAAACATACAAACAAACATACATTGGATTTTATATATATAGATAGATAGATAGATCAGATTGAACTTGATAGAAGTAATTTTTATTGATGATAGGCTACTCATTTCTTTACACGTAACAATAATGAATGTAAATAATGAATTACTATTAAATAACCAATAATACTTGCCTTCGATTCTATCTTGCACATAATTATGGCAAGTGGGAGTTTTTACTTGACTAGTATTACTTGAAGAACTGCTGGTGTGCAAATATTCACGATCACACTCAAATGTGTCATTGTCTTCATCAAAATTATTCACTAATGGAGGAGCTAGAGTGGAATCAGTTTCTTCAGAGGTGCATGGGTTTTGAAGATCATTACTACGTTCAGATAAAAGGTAACGGCTTAGCAAAATTCTTGAAGCAATCTTTCTGTTCTTCTGTCTTTTACTCAGACTATCTGATGGAATACAACTTCTTATTGACATCTTTCCCAAAAATTGAGTTAAATAAAATTTTATCTGAAACAAATTTAAATATTAACTCTAAATCTTATAAATTTAAGCTGAATAAGCTACATTTAGAAAAAAATGAATTTTGAATTGAACTACAATAATGAATGTCGACCTGACTCAACAGCATAACAACCTTATTCCTGTATTTGACCTTGTTTAAACAAACTTCTATATTTACAATACTTACACAGCCATTAATTTACATTCAATTAAATACGCAACAACTAATTACTGGAACTACCTTAACCCACCTGTTTACTCTAAGCTACTTCAAAAGCAAATAAATATAAAGGAAACCTACATTATACTCCACAACTGAGGACACCAACCAAATGTAGGAAAATCTTATTACTTGTGAAACATATAATTACGTAATTTAATAGCTTTGACTATTAATACAGTCAATGTTAATAGCTATTTACCTTACAAGTGTAGTAAGAGCGTTTTTTACATCACGCAGGTGTAAACACGCTCTTGCGTAGCGTGTAACGTACAAGATTTTACCTGACCGGACAATACAGAGGGTTACGTACAATATTTTTCATTATCCATTTCACTCATCTTCTAACAGTAATGTTCTTTTACAAACAAAAGTTAGGTTGAGAAAATTCTTTAAAGCATACCTAACAATAAAATTCAAGCGCACAGCTGATTTCTAGCATTGGTCGTTGGATCCATAGAGGTATATTTTTATAAGTTGAGCACTTAATGTTATATAAATGGGTTTCATTACTTCACTAGTGAGTTTTTGAAACTTTACTTCGCTCGTGAAGTAAAGTATCCCTAACGCTTGGGATAGGGAAGTTTAACATAGGGGGTTGGGTAAACAATTGAAATAGACCTGGGTAAACCAAACAAATATTTTTCAAACTAGACCAATACTTAATTAAACGCAGGATCATCTAGAAGTAAAATCTAACGTTTGTGTTTTAATGCTAATGAATGCTACTGTTAAAAATTATAATTGACATAATGAGAATTCAACTTTGTGGGCTATTGCTTAGACCTAATGCTTTTTACACAGAGTTCTTCTGCATTCTTTAAAATGGAATTGGATTATTATTGAACTAGCAGAGTACCCGTCGTTCAAAATACTATGATGAGGATGGGAATAAAACCCTTTAGATTTATATTTTGGTTTCAAATTAAGGGAGAATAAACCAACCTCTACATTTTGCCAAGACAAACGCGGATTATACGAGCAGCGATTGTTTGAGGCTCGGTCAAGAGACATTAAAGCTACTGTGATAAAACTTAATACCTACCATGCTAACTAAATGTTTGAACTTTGTTTCAAGGGTCTATTATGGGAATAACTTAAATAGCCTACACTTAAGTTAGTCAGAAGAAAGTTATAATTGTAAGCATAGCCACAAATTTCAAATTGGAAGACTTTATTAGCGGGATACCACAAACCCGAATTAAATTGGACAACTGAATGAAAAATGGGAGTCAATTAACCTAAACTTTACAGATACAAAAACCGTAAATTTAAGATGGATGCCCCGTGGTACTTTTAAAGGTTACAAATGGTAGAAAAATTACCATTTTTAAGCTTTTGTAAATAACCACGTCACATATTAACAAGATCTCAAAGAGGACCATTCTTGTTTGAAATTAGCCAAAGATCTTTTTGGTAATAACGGTAATTATGGAGGTCAAAGGTCAACGTTTTAATTTTTTTCTGAGTAATTCCATGACAAATTCAATGGTGTATCTTTCATTATGATTCAAGATCTAATCTCAAAAACCCGCCAACTGTTTGTAACGCTGAAAACGGAAAACACTTTTTTGCCCAAAAGTCATGTTGTGAGTACCCAAATTGTGCGGAATTTCATGATGAATTAAACGTTGTATTTTCCATTACGATCCTAACCCCAATAACCCTGCAAAATGTTAGATTTTGCAAGGTTAGTTCAGTTTAGGTTAGGTTTAAGTTAACCAAATAACCTAAACTAACCTTACCAAGCGTTTGGCTAGGTTAGGTTTTAGTTAACATAATAATTTAACGTAACCTAACCTAAACTAACCTAAAATTTTGTGGTTTGGTTAGGTTAGGTAAGGCTAGATTACATTAGGTTATTAGGATAATTAACAACTAAACTATACTAACTTAACCTTACCTAACAAAGCGTAGGGCTAGATTAGGTTAGGTTTTCATAATTATTTAACCTAACCTTACCTAAATTAAACTAAACTAACCTAGAACCCAACCTTACCTAACCTAACATTTTGTGGTTGGGTTAGGTTAGTTTAAGTTAGGTTGTTATTAGGTTAACTAAAACCTAACCTAAAATAAACTAGGGGAACCTAACCTAACCTAAAATTTTGCGGGTTTTTTTCGGTTATTAATTGTCCGATCATAACTTAATGAGAAACATACCATTGAATTTGTCGTGAAATTCCACATAATTTGAGTAAGTTTGAGTAAATATGAGTAGGTATATCAGTAGCCAGCATTGAATTTCCGGATATATTTTACTTAATAGCGGTCAGATTGTAATAAAAATTACATATTCTCTTTCAGGGTGAAATTCCGCACAATTTGAGTACCCACAACATGGATTTTGGGCTAAAAAGTGTTTTCCGCTTTTCCGGGAAAACGGTGCTTTCCGCAAAAAATTACTATCATTTTTCGAATCAGCGCTAATAACGAACCTATTAAAAAATTTAAAAAATTTTCAGCGTTGACTGGAGGTCGACATGTTAATTACCTTGATTGTAAAAATGGCGATTTGGTACTTTGGTATTATCCGAAAGCCACCCTTACTCAGCGCGGCACGCTGTGGTGGTTATGGTAATTACATAACTCAGGTAGGGGGCACCGGAAAAGAAGTTGTCTTTCCAAATCATTAACTTAACATTCATTTGGGTAATTATGTCGACGTCGACCTCCAGTCAATGCTCTAAAAATTAATTTTGTTTTAATCTGTTCTTTTTTTAGCGCTGATTCAAAAAATAATAACTTAGTCATTTTTTGCGGAAAAGCTCCATTTTCCAGAAAAGCGGAGGAAACTGAAAAAATACTTTTTTGCCCAAAATACATGTTGTGGGTAGGCTACTCAAATTGTGCGGAATTTCACCCTGAAAGAGATGTAATTTTTATTACGATCGGACCGCTATTAGTAAAATATCCCCGGAAAAGCGGGCCGTTGGCTAGTCATATACTCGTCCATAGCGGGAGACTCTAAGCCGTTGTGGAAGACTTGCGGGTGACTTTAAGTCGTTGTGGAAAGCGGGCTTTATTTTAGGTTAGGGTTGGTTGGGATAGGTTAGGTTAAGTTAAGTTAGGTTGGTTTGGGTTCAGTTAGGATAGATTAGGTTAGGTTAATTTATCAATTAGCCTACATGAGTATTGTAAGTAAGTTAAACTAACACAACCTAACTTAACATAACCTAACCTAACTTAAGGTTGTCGTAGCGTAATCAGCTGGCCTGCTAATGAATAGCCTACTCACACCTTTGTTATTCATATTTGGCCCGCTTTTCCGGGGACTTAATAGCGATCCGATCGTAATAAAAATTACATATTCTTTTTCAGGATGAAATTCCGCACAATTTGAGTACCCACAACATGTATTTTGGGCAAAAAATATGTTTTCCGTTTTTTTCAGTTTTTCCGGTAAACGGAGCTTTTCCGAAAAAAATTACTATAATTAGTATCATCATTGACTTTATATCTAAAGTCAATGGTATCATTTTTGGAATCAGCACTAAAAAACGAACAGAATAACCCATACACTTACCTTGGATCAATACTGAAGTAGGCCTACAGTAGTAGAATCAATTTAATAGATCACAACAAATTACACAAAAATAAACTAAACTTAACAATATGATTATTTATTAAAAAACTGATTAGGTCGGCTGTAAAAAAACTGTGATGTAAACACAATGGACAACAACCGGTAACTTACAACTGAGTTGAGTTCAGTGGAGTGAGTTCACCTCGGCTGGACGGGAGGTATATCGTTGGACTGTTGGTGTTGGTTGGAGGGAGATGGAGATAGGATAGAACCGTACCGTAAGTGAAACAACAAAAAAAGAAAGAGATAGAAGAAAAGAAAGACTGGGTTCTGTAAGGAAGAGGGAGGGGAGAACGAGTTTTGTTTTTGTTTTGTTTGACCTGCGTTCAAAATGGCCGCCACCTGCCCCACTTGCATTATTTTGTTCCGCTGTCCAAATTCTAGCTCAACTCGGTGACGACGAGCTTTTGTTTGGTTTCAAGGTCTGCCTATGTACCGTTATTCTAAGAAAAACTGTCTCGAATAGTTTGAGCCTACTCTATCCTCAACACTGACTACTGACTTTGTCAAATTTTGTTTCTGATATTGGGATATACTGTATTGTCATACAAACTAATGGTCAATCTCAAACATAAATATTGACGTATATTTGACGTCAATGTTGACGTACCATATACTTAAAGTTGACTTATTGTCTACATATCTATATATTTAATACACAGTTGTAACACTGTTTTCTCAGTAATTACTGGACCGATCTACAAGATTTATGTCTCAAATTAAAGGGGATAGTGTGTAGATTTGCCGAACTTCCTTAGAATTTACGTTTTTTCTAAGGGCTACGACTTACAGCCCTTTAAAGGTCGAGTCAATACAATTCTTATTGAAGAATATAATACACAGTTTATAAATTATTCGTCAGCTGTTTAATGTTTGTCAGACATTTGTTATTATTTTTATAACCTCACTTTCAGTATGCAATTATTAAACTTGGAGTTTCTGTTTATAAACACACAATTTTGATCAAGGAAAGTGTATTTGTTAACTAATTTTTGAAATGTTTTAGTTTTCCTGCAAAGTGATCTGAAGGAAAGTGGTAATTGAGTTTAAGTTTGAGTATGGAATGTGAAATAATACCCATAGTAGGGAACGGAAACTTATTGTTTTGATCAATATAATTTATTCTCTACGGCCACCAGAATAATCTTGCAAGTTGTACATAAAATTGATGGCAATGTTGACTCGGGTCATTACAGCGTTAGAAAACTTTATCATTAACCCCAGGATATGAAAAGTACAAAAAGAAAAAGAAAAGGTAATCATTAACCAGGGGTAAAGAAACATACAGAACGAAAAAACACGTAGAGAACCATCGAACTAAAAAGGTAAAGAGCAGTGATGGTGTTCAATGTGCTCTGGAAGTCCCTTCTAAAAAATTCCAATTTTTTTGAATTGGGTTCGTTAGATTGGATTTGTCAGTACTGCAAATCTATGAATTTTGAGTCAGAACAGACTAACTGGGACACAAATATTTTTTACTTATGTTGTCACAAGGGGAAGGTAAAATGAACTCCTTATCAACATTTTAAGTTTATGGAATATCTTATCAACAGCGACTATAAAAAAAAGTATTGAGGGTCAAAAGAGACAAAAAACTATTTGAGTAAAATATAATAAAAATCTGCATTTGAAATGGCCAGTTCTAAGTCTCACTTGAATCAACATCTTTCTGGTAGTGGTAGTCTACATAGTTTTAAAATCCACGACTCCTTTTCCATCGAATTGGACCGTTAATACCCTCTAACATTGAACAAAGTATGCCCAACTTTATATATACGACGTAAACACAGCTTTTACTCACAGTATGGGTAAAGATTCGTAAAATGCGACCAACTGCTGATGCGTGATTTACATGTAGGCTATGTGACTATCTTTATTCTATACAACAAATGTAATTAAAAAAAACCACGAATATAGGAATATACTTGAGCAAATTATCTAAATAGCATAAATAGCTGCTTATTAGGTTATCAGCATCGCCCAGTTCGTATAGGCCTACTATTTATTTTTCAAATGAAACTCGAATTAATATAAAACATTCATTTGGTTAAAATAATATAGCCTATCGGTTTGATTAACATAAAATAGTTTATACAGATAAACTATCAGTTCTATTTCATGTAAAAAATTAAACAACCCCTAAATAAAATACAAAGATAAACAGTATTTGTTAATTATTATTTCTTTTATTGCTGACAATATTCCCGTGGCGGAGCACGGGCGGTTAACTAGTACAGAATTATTATGAGGTTTAAAAGAAAAAGGTAAGTTACTTTCATATTATACGGAGGCCACACAAATACAGCGCGCTGCGGCGATAAGGTTAGGTTAGATTATCATAATCTTTTATGACTCATCTGGTATTGTTCGATCGTAGATTAAACATATACTCCTCAAGATATTTTTATAATCAATGCTTAGTGAGCAATGTTTTTTTTTTAGAAACAAGATCACATGTTTCAAACCGTAATATTAACCAGATGTTGTAAATTATTGTTTGTCTATGTTTGATTTTAAGTAAGTAAAAGCTTTGAGTTTTTTATTTGTTTTATTGTTTGAAAATGTTTTTTATGTAATTAGTAAAAGTTTTTGATAGGTTATTACTGGAATTTAATCTTATTTTACTCTTTTTCATGTCAGATTTCAAAAAGCACCTTAAACATACATCAACCCAGGACGTACAATGACGGGTCCTCTGCTAGTCTTATATATTTAAAAAATTGTTTTTTCTTTTCCGACTACGTTTGGCTCTTCTACCCGACCGATTTTTATGATTAAAGTCTCAAATTGAAGGACGCTAAGTTTTCTCATGAAGCATCGGTAAATATTTACCTACTGTATTACTCGACCAAAACACATAATTTGATTTATTTTCTAATTCTTACTTCAATTTAAGATGTACCTTCACCAGTTATAATGTTATTTTCCTATATATTTTAGTCTAAGAACCTTCAGTGAAATACTGGCTATCATCTAAGCTATTATTTATTCAAATCGTACGAGTTTCAAGCAAACGCAAGGTGAAAAACCAGCATAAAAATTATTTTTCATAAGGTTGTTATATGATAAAATATTAATAGCTCCATGAGTATTGGTAATGTTTTTCTATATGTTTTTTTCTCATAAATTTGATTACTTCTCGGATATTATATTTCTTTAAACGCTGAAGAGCAGCACGGGTCCTATAGACTCAAAATAATCAGCAAATTATAGGCTTTAATTTGAGCTATCGATCGTTTGAATCAGTTAAGCTAAAGATACTGTATTACTCAATCAAAAATCATAAATTTAATTATTTATCGGATATTGTATTTATTTTAAAGCTGCAGGGCAGCATGGGTAGTCTAGTTACTAATGATAAATGTTTTAGCAATCAGCACAGTCTAAATCGTTACCAACACCAACCAAAATTTCTATTTTGAGAGCCTACAGCCGCTCTAGTTACTTAAGCTATGCTACATTATTCCCTTATTTGTATTGTGTACTATGATGTTATAATGTTGTGTTTGGTTGTTTTCAATGTAATTGACACAATAGCTTATCCATAATGATTGCTGATAATCAACATTCGAACATTTGAATAGGATTAACGCAACTTCCAATAAAAATCACAGAAACACGTATTGTTTGAAAGTATTAATATATGATAAATCTTAGTAAAATTTACATTTTGGGATATTTTTAGTTCATAATTATATATTTTTTCTAAAAACGATACAATCCTTTTCAATAGGAAAAAACTACATCTCGTATAATCATAAAATATACCAACGGTCAACATCTTTATTAAATAATGACTGAAATTTGTAAACTTACTGCTGGCGACAAGGGTGGTACCAACCTTATGCGGCTATAAGTCAGAAAATGTTTCTAGAAAACACTAAAAAGCAATATTAGCTTATGAAATATGATAAAATATTTACAGTAAATGTTGATTATATCTAACTGTTATATTCATCGTGAGTTGCATACCTACTGGTAATCTTGTAGTTGACTTTTTTAAACTCATTGTAAATATTACTGTTATTCGTTTTGAAATAACTTCTGTAGGCCTAATACTTTGCAATTGCTCAAATTCGAGCAACACTAGTTAATCAATTAATCAATCCCAATCAATCAAATTAATTGGTGGGGGAATCCCAATGTCAAATATAGGTCAATAAACTATAAAATGAGATTAACTTATTATAGCACCAAGTCTTAGAAGGGCTCAGCTTTAAAAAATAACAATACTGTAATGATACTATTTTTCAAAGCAGAAATTTTATTTTGGGAATTTCTTACGGTGTCAGTAATGAAAGTTTATTTAGGCCTACAATGGTTTTCAATGACTCGAGACGACAGGGACGTGCACAAATATTTTGTGCAAATAGGACCAATGCAATCCCATGTTAAAATGTTATTATATCCTATTATTTGTTTTATAACATATTTTAGACTGTATCATGGAAATTGTACATAATGTTTACCTAAATTTATTTTTTAATGTCTCCTACAAATTAAACACCACGAGCAATGCTCGGTCTCTCTAGTCTCTTATACACTACACTATACAGCATGGATTGACTTGACCTAAGATTGATATACGTATCCATCTAATAAACGTAATTCTAATAAATAATTCTACCAAGTATGCTGACTGGGATGGTAAGCCTGTACTTATGCCCTTCATCTTGCAAGCCATGAATTATTCCTTACAATTCATATATTTTTTATCACAAATCTCAAAAATCTTTAACTTTCACTGGTATCTCTAATATTTAAAGTTGACCATACTGTAAACAGGATTTTTGTTATTTGGCTTATCTGAATGGGGAAAAATGCACAGTGGCACAAGAAAAATAGGCATAGTTTTCGTGCTTATGGTCTGGCCGGTAAGATAAATGCATATTTTATCATAATAATCAAAATGGAGTAGGAAATTAATTTTGATTGTTGTGAAAGGTGTTTGAGAAGCCCCGGACAAAGTCGGTGGATGGGTCGGCAGAGGAGGACCCGTTTGCGATACAACTCATCTCGCTGTGCCCCGAGAGTCGTAAGCTGTGCATCGCCGGAGCCAGCAGCTACGTCATACTGTTCAAGTTCCGCAAACTGGAGTCTGTCGGCGACACGTGTGTGAGTGTTTTTTCTAGTTTATAAGCAGTAAAAGATTTTGTCAATGATTTGTGGATCAGATCATAAAATTGATCAATTGAAATTCAAAAAAATTATTTAATAAACATGGTTTTTTGTAAGACAATGACAATAACTGTTTCATTAAATAGTCAAGTATTACATTAGAAGGTGTCATATGATGTATCTTTTAACTCATAGATTAACTTAAGTAAGGTACCCAAGGAATCGTTCCCAAGTGTCAGATCATAGATTCACCTGGTATTTTTCTGGTGATTCGCCACACTAAAGAACTCACTTGTGCCATGAATGTTTATTGATATTCCAATATTCAAATATTCTTTTTCCACTCATTAGCTTAAGTAGTTGGAGTTTTGATCTTTGAAGCTGTGTTCTTGTACGCAGACACTGGAGATTCCTGTAGTCTACGAAGTCAGTGAGGAACCCGAAGTCTCACCCGAATGTGAATACCCGCCCAAACCTAGCCTCACTGACCCGGACAATAAGAAGGTGAGTCAATACAGAAAACCTTAAAAAGACATGGGTAAGAGCTAAATGCATACATAACATACAAATAGAATTAATATTAAACTCTCATTCCATTTGAAAAATTACTACTAAAAAACAGTTTTCACAGCATTTCAGGATTCAAATCTGATTTCATCCTGACGTGAAAAAGTATTTTAATCACAACACTAAGATTAACCCAAAAAAACTTGTAAAATCAAAAATAATCATGCAAATGTGCAGTTATCAAAACAAGGAGAAAAAATCAATTTCTGGAGAAAATAGTTAGTACCTACAAAAAGGGGGTAGGCAAACACAATAGACGCCGACATGTCTAAGTCTACAAGATTGTGGTTGAAGTGATTGGTCTACTGATTGTGTTTATGTGTACTAATCTTATTATGTTTAAAGTACTTTCTCTTTTGGTAGCAAGCTGGTCTAGTGGTTAGAGTGTGGGTCTTGGGTTCCCAACATCATGGGGTTCAAATACCTAATCACCAGTTCGGAGTTTGTATAAGTGATAATTTGGCAATCCTCTAGGTTTAGCCAGAAGTATGCAAATGGTTCTGGGCTAGAGCCCAGGTTCTAGGATTTGAAATTAGGTCAGAATATTTCTCTTCAGGATGGAATCAGATTCCAGACCTGGAGAAGTTTGAAAAACTTGTCTACCATGTTGATGAATTTCTTTGTTTTTCCTCAAAACATTTATATAAAATTAAATTAGTTAATGTTGTGAAATGGATCCATATTATTTTCTTGCATGCTATCTGTCTCTGCAGTCATCCCTGGAGTACACACTACCTGTGAAAGTCAAGCCAGGCCCTATCAAGAAGCCGCCGGGATTCCAAGCACACCTGGTGTGTATCACCCCTGTTGCCAACGGAGACTCTCCCAGCAGCATAACAGCCCTGTGTATCAATTCTTCATACGGACTGTGAGTATACATACTGTTACACAATCTGTCACATTATAAATACTCCACATTATTTATTATAGCAGTTGTACAGAATTCATATTCAATTCAGGAAAATTCTGCTTTTCCTAAATACTTTTCCTAAACTGAAGATGAAGAAACTGTATTGTTGTATTGTATACTTGAAAGTAGTCTGCTTTGTCTCACAATCCTGCAAAACCAGAAGAAACACAAATGTGTAACACAAAGCTATCACAACAGATACACCATCTGGTACTGACCATAAAGAGAAACTGCTAAAGCTTTTCAACCTTCTCCCAAAAATTTTACAGAATTCAAGTGATTTGTATGCCTTCTATTATTACTGTAACACTCCATGAATGGCTCTTTAAACTGTGTTGTGTTAAACCTGACAACAGATGGGATATCTTCTTCAGTATTCAAAAGTGAATTGTAATACTATCTTTCGCTAATCTCCGGGCATGTTTGTTGGCAGGATGGCGTACGGCAATGAAGTAGGCTTGGTGGTTGTGGATATCGTCCAAAAGTGTTGCCTTCTGAGCATCGGCACACCAGACCTGTACGGCAACGCGGATCCGTACCAACGAGTGCCGCGGTCGCCCAAACGTAACCCTCTGTGCGAGGGCGACGGAGAGCGGTGTCGATCACCGAGCATCGACCAGGTAACTTGTCGTCCAGCCTCAGAGCCTTCGTAAGGTAGTGCAAGAAAGCAGGGTAGTCGTAAAGTAGGCTAACAGCTCACTAAATAGATTTTTAATTTGTAGAATTGACTGAACATTCGTAATACTATTTTTGCTATAACCGTTTTCTTGTAAGGTAAACTTTGAATGTTTGCACTCTTGTAAGCTGGCTATGAAAGTTTTACTAAACAAATAGTTTACTAACATTTATTAAGTTGCATTGAATTTCTTATACCGAAATTTACATATCATCTATATGGACCAGCTGTAGCCAATTCGTTATTATTAAAGAACGTAATTGAATAAAGCAACTCTCAGGTTGTGCAACTTTTAAAAATTATTTGTTTTCCTTTTTAGTTCTTGTTATTGTAATAGTTGATGTGACATTGAAGATGTAATGTGTAAAATAAATTTTTCTTTCTGTTTGGCGCGACAAAAGTTTGTGGATATAACAGCAATTAGTAATTTACTAGCACACTTTTTGTTGGTGGTTCAATTTTCAATTCAACTATGGTCTTTATTTTTAGTCTATAATTGATTTGAGTTTTGTCTATAAAATGGTTTTTCGACCATTATAAAGTCGTTTTTTAATTTGAATACCCAATACACTTGACTTCATGAGCTTGTTGTCTTCCATGTTACAACAACTTTCCAACATAACAACAAGACATTTTAGTATTTTTTTGGAACAGCAGATTGTATATCTCTTTTAGCTCTTTAATATATGTTAAAAAATTTTAGGAGTGCGTATTTTAATCATTTTTACCAAGGTTTTGTTCTACCTATCCTGCTTTCTTGAAGAAATATTTTGTCATTAAACACACTCAACACACAAACTCAAAATTGTTGTAACATTTTTTTTAAATTTGGTGTAGATTATTTCAGTATTTTAATTATTTAAAGTTTTGTTTGTAGTCTAAATTTTTTTGTTTTATTAAAAGCTAATAACCAGTTACAACACTTTTGAAGCAGTCGCACATTCATTTGTACATAACAAATTTTTTTAGATGCAGTTTATATTTTTAAGACTTAATAGATCAAATAGCAAGAAAAAAAACAACAGTTATCAAAATATAAATATACTACATAAAACAAACACACACAAAAGTCATTACACATTCTGTTCAGTGGTTAAATTTAGTTAGCTATTTTACTTATTTTCTTATTTTTGTATTTTTCTCCCTTGTTTTTGATTATCATTTTAGTAATACATTTAGTAATACATAGTGAAATAATCCTCACAATATTATCATAACTGTGCAGTTTAACTAAGAATTTTCATCAGGAAATTCACTTACCTATTAGTTTTACAAAGAAAGAAAACGGAATTGGCAGATGATTGGTTACAAAATGTTTGAAATATTGTCAAAACGTGTAAACTTGTTTGCCTGTACAGTATATAAACAAAATCACTTGTTCTAACTTTGCTAGTCTTCTAACACATTTAGTCGTAGAATAGTGGAGTCATTTTGCTGCTTCGCTGTTAGCAATTTAGTGCTACTAACGTTCAAAGGAATTATTTGTAATTGTTCTCTGATGAAATTTCATTCCAATAATTGATGAGACATGTTTTTCAGTACCGTACTTAAAGTAGTTTGTGTAGTTTACCTACCTCATTTTTTTCTTCGGCTCGTAGTCAAAACTGTGCAATAATTTTTTGATGCCTAGAAATCACAAATATATTTAAATATTTCAAAAATGTCTTGCATTAAACATTTTTGAACAGTTGAATTAGTATAGACTGAACTCACATGTATCTCAGTACAGTAGTCAGTAATAATTTTCCGTCTTAATATAATCTTTTTGTTATTTAATCGATTGCAGACTTGAGTTAAACATCAATGCTGTAAAATTGTATATTTCCTTCAGTAATAATTAAAACAAAGTTACATTCTTTCCAATTATTTAGGAAAATCTAAATTACATAATAGTTTTCCCTTAGATGTTTTAAAACCTTTTCCGTGAAAAAGAAAACTCAATTTGAATCCAAATATTTTGGTTGAAAAAAATATATCTTATGGAATATTTTTGCAAACCTATGCTATATTACGCTATAAATCTTATTACTCAAAATGATCCAATTTTATATTACATGATATCAAGAATCAAGAAATGTTTTTTTTTTTAATACAAAAATGTTTTTAGACTATACCAAATCAATATTGTGGAGGACATGGATTTACTTATGTGTGTTGCAGTACATTCTGTTTGATTTGTTATTGATTTTCTACCCTGTTCCCTCCTGAGTGAACCGCATGAGTAGATGTTGTTATTCCGAAGGTCATAGACTATGAGGAGCTGGACAGATTGGTCATCAGTCCCGGGCTGTACTCGGCTCAAGTCTCACCCAACCCGGACACAGACGTCGAGACTGCGGAGGACGCTTTCTGTCTCGACGAAGCAGACCATCCGTCCAAGGACCGCAGAAGTAGTTCCTCGTGGAAGGGTTTCAGTCTGAAAAAACAGTTGAGCCGAGTAGACATGAAACTGAAACACACTTTTTCCGCGCCTCCAGAAAAAACAGGGAAGAGAAATTCCGTTTTTTACTCCGGTTCGAATGCGGTTTCCCCAGCAGAGAATTCGGGGAGTAATTCCCCCGAGTACCCCAACAGTCCGGAGCCGGAGAGTGAGGACTTGCCTTCTATAGTACTCATCAAGGAGGCGGAGTCCGAGGATGTGGTGGAGGGGGGTAGTGCCGTGAGACCTACGGAACTGCAACTGTTCGACCACCAGGGTAAACCGATTAGACCCCCGAGAAAGGACAGAAAGAGGGTGTCAGTAGATCAGAAGACTCCCAATAGGAGTGACACGAGACTGTTATCTGTGCCCAATATCAAGTACAGCAATCAACAAGGCCTGCGCGACCTGCGACGCAAGGAGGCCATGAAACTGTCCAACCACAATAACCAAGCGTTCGGAAACATCAAACGTAAGATCAGTAAGTCACAAACATTACGCACTTTCTTTTATCTGGTTATTTGGAATGTTCTGTGCTTGGTTTCGGGTGGATTTTACTAAATCTGATTCGGTTAACCACAAATTTTCACTTCATTTGAACTCACCAAGCACCGATCTCACTATCAATGAGGAATGCATGGTCGAAGAACCTTTTTCGAACACAACTCACTGTAAACACAGTGAGCTTTGACCATTTACCTATTGTACTGTAATTTGGATGCGTAATCATTGATTTTATTCAGAATGTTATAAAAAATATACTGTATAAGCTACAAAACTATATTATTTGACTGCAGTTCTTTGATTAATAATTTTTATTACATTGCTTTGTGGTTGATTGGAGTTCAAAGTGATTTTTCAATCTTGTACTTTATGTAGAAATTGAAATTACTCAACTTACCTTCACAAACTTACTTACTGATGCTTGTATTTCAACCATAGTTATGGTATATTTTTAAGGTTGCAATAACTTTTCTCCTGCTTATAATACGTTAAATAGACCATCCAAAATAATCAGTGCACATAATCAATGTTTTGTAGTTGGTAAAAATTGGATTAATTATTGAGCCAAAATTAAGATGATTAAAATCTTTGTTGGGTGTAGAAACTATTTTATTGGTCTTTGGCTTTTCACTTCTTCATCTATTGTCATCATTTTTATATTCAATCGTTAACCTCACTGTATTTTAATACTTTCCAAATACTTACAACCCATGGTACAATCTAATTGTTAGTGTTTTCTATCCCTTTTTTGATAAACTTGCATTTGGTTTTAAGATTTTACTATAGATATTTCAATATTAATATTTAAGTAGTTTTTGTCGTAGATTAAAATAGATTAGAACTCATTTGCATCCGTTGTAAATAATTTAAACAAATTATTCCTCTGTGAGCTGGGTTAGTTTGTGTGTCTTTGTTCAAAAATAAGATGGATATATTTTGTCAGTTGAAGGCGAATTTAGATTTAAAGTACTTATTAATGCTATTCTGTTAAACCAAAGTAGTTGGACAATGATTTAATATATCCATACAGCTGAAAAAATGAGTTATTTTGTATATCTTGCTCCTCTATGAAGCTATGTATTTTCCAAACTTTTACTTTAGTATTGACCTTTATTTTCGTCTTTATTTTTTTTAAGACGTTTCTGGTTACAGTTTTGTTTTTTTACCGAGGCGATTAAACACATTTCTTACCACCTGTCACACTCTTATAAGTGGCATTGTGTCACCTGGTAGAGAATGTGTTAAAGGGTAAAAACTTTTATACGACAATTTCAAAATATTTAGTTTGAATAAAAATATGCAGATAAGAATAGTAAAAATACTAAGAATAAAACTTCTTTGTGACTCCCTTCCTATTTCTGTATAAATTCACAATTTATATTTTCCATCATAACTGCTGTGTATTCTTTCACTGTAAATTCCATTCAAACCATAAAAACTTCCATTCCATGATAACTTAATCATAAAACCAATCTCAACACCCAAAAAGCTGCATTAATATGCCTACTTTTGTCTTCTCTCTGCCCTCTACTAAGTAAGGCAATTTTTTTTCTTCTTTGATTTAATTTGTGTAAAAGTTCAACTTTAAGAAATTACATTAGCGAGTAGGAAAATGTATTTGACGGATGCAAATGGGTCTAGACTTGTTTTGCCAGCGGCTCGTGCCTGATTGGTTCATTGCTACCTGACATTTGGCGGTAACTAGCATAGACTCCCGTAGAACCTCGTCCTGTAGTCAATCGTCCAAACCTGTTCCCAAGTTATAATTTTACGTTTATTATATTTTGTTTGCATTTTTCTTTAGTTGTTCATCCTACATCAACGAAAGGACAACGTTGTTAGAGACAAAACCAACCATAGACGGTGTACATAGAATAGTCCGTACAATGAGTGTGCAGTGTGTGTTGTGTGTATATATTGTACTAACATTTGACTTTTTTCAGGCCCAGTGCTTTAATAACTGCTTGTTCCTTTTTTCCTGATATTCCTATTGATGTTGAATGTGCCAGTAGGGCGTAATGAATGAAACAATAATTTTAGAATGCCTTTTTTATGTAAAAAACAAATGTTGGGACAATTTAATTTTACATCTTTTATTTAATTTGCAATTTATTATTACAAAATCAATTTTTCATTCAAACAGAAATACTATGTTAAAGTGTTGAATGTTTTGAACTTTGGTAACCAAAGGTCTGTCAACCGATGGAGGGTTTAAGAATCAGTGTTTGAAATTTTAATCTATACTGGACTTGACATGTACTTTAATACTGTAACAATCGTAATACCAATTATTGAAAGAGCATACACTTTCTTTAGTTTCATTTCCTTTTTTTATCTGCAAGTTCTTAACCTTGGCACCATTGGTTTAGCTTTTTACCGTCATAAATTGAAATAGCAAGATTATTATTAGAAGTGGCCAATTAATTTAACCCTCCTCAAACACAGATTAAGATGATCAATTCTTTATCCCCTCCTTTACCTTGTTTTTTTTTTGTCAAATGTTAAATTCATTCTTAATGTTTGGATAATATATTTTAATATTGACTTTAAGTTTATCGTCTAAAACAAAGCAAAACAAAGCAAAATTAAAAGTAGATCTAGGTGCATTCAACTCCCAGCCAACCCAATTTGTTTCTCTTCGCTCATTAACAATGTTTTTCCAATTGTTTACTATATGCCATAACAATATGTTTAATTATTGTATAATTTTTTTGATTTTTTCAAGGATTCAGATGGAGACCAAAGCTGCCTTAAATATTTATTCGGTATTTATTCTCAGTGTATGTTTAGAATCTAGAGTCCGTAGTGGGCTGAAACGTAACAGTGGCTTATAGTCCCGTGTGACTAACCTAACCTAACCTACAACCTCCCCGTAATCTGTCCATAGTAACACCGTACTTGTGTGTCCACCTCCAACCATCCCCATCCTATAGCTACACTGGGCATTGTTTACTATTCAATCTGTTATAATAGAAAAAGTTGTAAGTGTGTATACCATTCTGATAACCCATAAATGAAATTTAAGATGTCAAGATGAAGACTAAGAAAGTTTGAGGAGTTGATGCAAATTATTAAATACATTAAAAGACTGTCATATAATTTTATAAATAGCCATGTAGTGGCTTTTCATTTTAAATCAATTTAATTTCGTAATCAATTAATTAGTGGACTTTTCTAACACGTATATGTATTTTCCTACGTATTTTTTTTATAAAAAAATCATTTCCTATTTCCAATTTTTGTTGACCAATCACTTAAACTGGTAATGCTAAATTACTATTTTTTTATCTAAAATATATTTTGGTCTAGTAATAGTAGTTTAGAAAAAGCTTAGGTCATATTATCATATTATTTTACCATAGTAAAAAACAAGTAGTCAGAGGTATCACCAAGTAGAATTTTTTTATATTCATGAAATTGCTACAAACAATTTCCCAATAGATTGTAGATGCAATGAGCTCTCAAAAATGTACTCTTTAATATATGATTCACATCTTTGTTACTGAAAAGTCCACTTTACGTATATTCAAACTTGTTTTTTACATAGTTATTTATAAAGTCATCATGTGTTCTGTTATGTCATCCATTTGTACCTTGTGATCAGTAAGTAAATGTGAGTAGTGAACAATGTCCGTGTACGCCGTGTCTGTCAGATTAACGGGGTGTGTGTGTCGCCGACGGGCAAGCTGAGTGGATCGCCCGCGCGGCGTGCCGTGCCTGAGCCCGTACGCCGCTCAAAGTCGCAAGGTACCAGCCGCAAGCTCCAGAAATGCTTGAGCACCGTATCCTACTCCGATGATGGCTTGCTACCCCCGCCGCGGCCCCATCTCGACAAAACCAACCTACTCTCGACTCGACAGTATTGCAGTTTTGGTAGTACAGTCACCTGTCCATGGTCGTAGTATTTCTGTGGTCTCCGATTTTGTTTTCGTTTCATTTCAGTTCGTAGTATTTTCGTTTGGGTTTACATTGAGTTTTGTGACACTTGCAAATTGTCTCCACTGCGCTTTGCATTCGTAGTTGGTGTGTGTGGTTCAGAGTGGTAGTTTGGTGTTGGAGTTTGACACTCACAGGAGGAAATAATAGTTTTTATACACAGCGATTTTGTACAACAACCTAAATTTTAATACATAAAACAATCTTAAAACGATTTTTTAAAGTATCATTTTTCATTTTGATTGTTCTTATTTGTTCTTCCAAATAAAGTAATAACCTAATTCCAAATAATTATTAATAATTCATGGAATATAATAAATAAATTATACTGTAGCAAAAAAATACACCACACCTAAACCGTATATAAATGGTCCATTAGAAACAACTGTTTATTCCTGTTTAGTTTCCTTATACATTTTTGGGAAAATTTTAGCTATTCTCATTGGACCATTTTATACTATTTGCTCTAACTTAACGATACAAAACAAATTAATTCATGAATGATTGTAAAATAGTGTAAAAAGGTTTAGTTGAGCACATTTTTCAGTAGGCCTACATTTTTTTTTACTTTGAAAATATTTAAATAGTTTGCCTGCAAGCTAATCGGCTTAGTGCTGAAATGTACAAACACATCAATTTGTTAAGTTGCATATGTTTTTTTGTTTTATTTTGTAGGTATTTGCCTTGAAATGTAGCATTCAACATTCAAATGGTAAATTTAAAGCAGCCAAATAAGTATATCTCAAAATTCTTATAGAGCTGCATTGATTCACGCGCTTTGCCACCTTGTCACCGTACAATTTGTAAGTGTCATGTTTGCGTAGTCTCCGTCTAACGTAGCGCGCAGCAGCAGTTATTGGCCAGAAATCTAAACAATGGTTACACACAGGCAGATCACGATCGGCCTGTTCAAACACACACATAACCTCCAAGACCTGTTGAGTCTAGTTGTTGCAACGTCTTCCTATGTTTGTGGCAACATATCTATCTATGGTTTATGTCTCTCGTGCAGCATGGAGCCGATAACAACGTGTTTATTTCAATGGGTGACGTACTATCCAAAACTTGTCATTTTGCTATCTTGCTATGTCTATGTAGAGTATGAGCCTGCTGTATACCTTCACTGATTCAGAATCTACCCGTAGCGATAAGTAGTTTTTGCATAATTTGCAGGTAGCCGGCAGGATCTTTTTATTTGTTTGGAGTGGAAAAGATTTACAAAAAGGTTTTAGTTAATGGAACAATATGACTTTTTTTATTAACATTTTATGAGCTGTCACTGTGATGGATATTCAATTATGTCTAACACTTTTTGATACGTCCATGTTTATACTGTACTGTAACATTTAAAACATTGTATAGTATACATATAAAAGATAGGAGATACTTCGAGTTGACCTGATAATAACGGTTTGACTGTTACTATCCTGTAAATTTTTACAATATAAGTTTAAGTATAACAAAAGTGTTTATATTATGATGCCAAGTCGTAGAGTTTCCAGCCTTGGTACTATTCACGAAATAGTTTTTTTTAATAGGTTTCTCATAAAAAGATCCTGCTTGTAGTTGATCAGATATAATCTTAAGCATTATAGAGTTTATTAAAATTTTAAAGACACATTGGTTTATAAGTTTACAAATAATTGTTTAAGTCAATAGATTTAAATATTTTGTGTTTCTACAGCTCAGTACCAATTTACATTCAAGTTACTGAAGCAATTAGTTTTGATTTTTGAAATTTTTTTGTCTTCATTTTTTTCATACACTGCCTTTTGAAGAGAATTGAACTAAAGGTATTACAACACCTGTATCACATTTTTCATAGAATAGATATGTGTATAAACGATTTAACAATATTCTTAGAAACCTTTGCATTAGTATATGGGTTGAAACAATGAAATCAGATTTTTATGTGTGTTAATAGTTACGTACTGTACAAACAAAACAATTTTACAAAATTGTCCCCATTCCAAAATCGTGTAATTTTTTTTTAACTTATATTCCAATGCATAGACAATATTAGTATTGTAAATTACTATAACATTTTCGTTTCAGATGTTACTTAAACTATTTTCTTTGATAAAAAATTGTTTACAGTTAAAAATTTAGAAGATAAATAAATTTTTCCAGTGAATTCTAAAGAATGTGAAGCTGCAATTTGTGAAAACCTCTGAAAAATTTTGAATTTAGTGGAATTTAAATGCTTTTCTAATGGACCTTACAGCCCAGTTAATGTTAAATTTAGTTTGAAGAACAATTAATCTATACACATCTGAGACTGACAGTGTAGATGAATACATTATCGGTAATCTAGTCTTACATTAATCTTAGTTTAGCCTTAGGTGTTGGAAGGGTTATAGATTCTGAATCAATACTCAACTTTTTATTTTCACAATACACTTCTCATATTTTTCACTGAGTTCATTTTTGTTGTCAACATTTTCAAACGATGTCTCGTGTTTACTAATTTTTATTACAGTTTAGTTTTATACCACTTTGTTTCTCTTTCACTTTTCCCTCTCCGTCCTTCTGCTTGCTTTCAATGTTCTCGCATGCGTCTCTCGCTCTATTCTTGTTCTCGTCTTTGTTTCTCTGTTTCGCACGCTCTGCTTACAACTAGAGTCGAACAGACATTTGCTCATCACTATTGGCTCGGCTACAACTGCTACTGCTCTGCTTCATTTTAAATTTTCAATGTTTAGTATAAAGTAATTCTCATTGGTATATTTACATTTACATTAATACCATTTGCATTTGTTCGGGAGATTTTATTATCTTTCACTGAAGATTTCATGTTTTTTTTAGATTTATTATGTGTTTTTGTGGTTCTTTAGCTGTTTATGATTAATGGCTTTAAACAAGCTTTAGCTTGTGTTTACAATCTTGATGTTTGTGTTTGATTAATTTCCAGCTCTACCAAGAAACAAATTATAGGTATATTTACTTGGTAATGTGTTTTTCTTTTTAGTATTGGGGTTTCTGTAAAAGTAAACCTTTTCTTAAAAATCAGATTTCTCTAAGAACACAATAATTTTAGAAGAAAACTGAAAAGCTATGACATGTCTAGGAGGTGTTCCAACTACTGGTACTGGATATATTGGAACGATATTCATTTTATCATTATCATACATTTTTGTATTTTTAACATTGAACCATGACTTGCAATGAAGTGTATGAGCAAACATTTGTCTGTAAACAGCAAATAAATTCCTGTCTTCTCAAAAAGTATTCACCAATTAAATTTTGTCATCATAAACATATTTTGTATGCATGAATCATAAGTCATTACTATATCGATCCCGTTCTAAGAATGGAATGAATATTAGCAGATTAAAGTATGTCGTCTGTAACACGAATGAGCATGTAAGTGCCTGTACCGCCTTGCTTGCTACCAACCTAACAACACACTAACAATTAATCAACTTGTATTTTTAACAATCAGATAATTTAATAATAATTTAAATCTTATTTTTGTGATAAATTTGCTCATAAATGTATGCCAATAATGATTTTATGGAATACCTAATAATAATTTCAAAACCAATTAAATTACACAACAAATTGAAATGGGTGGATTTGTTAAATATGTTTATAACTTGTTTCTTGATTGGATAACGTGTCAAACATGTTTCTTTCTAAGCTGCCTAGGAATTCTTCATCCAAAGTAAAAGGGTTGTATTTTATAAACTGTAGATTTCATATGTGGTCATGACGTGCTGTTTTAAAATACAAAAGTTTACAAAATGAAATGTTTTAAAACCTGTTTAAGGCACACAAAAAATACAAAAGTGCTATGAAAGTAAATGGGTACAAAACTAGATATTTTGTGGTTTTAACCGGTACTATATTTTCAGAAATTTTAGTTATTTACCTAACTTCCTAACTGTATAAATTAAAACATACTATAAAATGTTTATCAGCTTAAGATAGAAGAAAAATTCAATACCTATTAAATTATTTTACTATACAAAGGATTATGTCGAAGCCAGACTAATGTAAAACACATTTTTTAATATTTTCATAATTTTATTTGATTTACCAAAGTAGTTAACATTTTGGCCTGCTTAGGGAAGTTAAGCTGGATATTTCCTTAAAGTAGACAAGCTTTATAAAGATAAGTAGGTAGATAACTTCTAAGCGTAGTTGCATATTATGGTTTCTCCTCGACTTGTTCTAATTGATAATTCTGTTATGACAGACAAGCTGGACAGTTCTTTTTCTCGATCTCGGAGCTCCAGCATGTCAAGTCTAGAGAACATAAGTTCCGAAGCTATCCAGTGCCTCTCTTTTGCTGATTCCTACACGAAAAAGTCAGGTGGGTCAAAGTCAATTTAATATCAGTATTATTCTCATTAACACTATTAATTGACAGGGACACGTCATCTAGGTGTGTATTTAAACCCAAATACGAGTGAAGGATGAGTGTAGAACAGTGAGATGATATGTGTTGTTTTTTTACTGTCCAAGATCAGCTGTTTGATTAAGGATCATTTATTTTAAGTTCAATGATCAGCTGAGTCTAGTTTTGAACCATCAAAAAGCTGTTAACTTTTCTCAGGTTTGATCCGGTAATCTTTTGATTGCTAGGCGAGCACTACTGTATAACCAGCTACCCAGCCAGTCATACAGCACAATATCACTCACTACACATAGGAAAAACATACATTGGCAACATCGGAGTTTTTATGTTCATAAGATAAGGAAACAACTCGACAAAAAAGCAAAACTAAATCACTAAATAATCCATGGAGTTCAAAGAGTTAGCCTTAATATGAGTCTAGAATTAAAGTAATGGAGTGTTCTCGTGGATCTTTTTATCAGAGACCATCTGTTTTTAGCCACGACAATTTATGAAAAACTCAAAGGTCGAAAACCTGCTGGGTCCAGTAATGAATTTAAAAAACCACTGGTTTTCCTCAGAGTATTTTTACTTTTTAGATTTTCTGGAAAATAATTTGATAAATCCCCTATACTATAGGCCTGAATTTATCAAACTCAATCTAAAGTGTGGCTAAATATCTATTATCCAAAAGCTTGAGACTTCACATAATGAAGCATTCACCTCTGGACATGACTAACTCCGCCCTCTGTGACAGAAGCCAGTACCTTCCCGACACTGTGGGTCGGTACCAGTCTCGGCTCCGTACTGACCGTGATGCTGAATGTCCCGGCACCGGGCGAGACCCGGTTGTCGCAACCGGTCGCAGTCTCACCCTGTGGAACCATCTTCCGGCTCAAGGGGTGCATCCTCACCATGTCCTTCTTAGACTGCAACGGAGCTCTCATCCCCTACTCCTACGAGAGCTGGAAAGACGAAGGCAAGCAAAGTAAGGATCTTTAGTTACCGTTTCAATTGTGATGAAAATTTTCCTACTTTTTTTAACTTTACCTGTATGTGTTGGTAAACCCTGTGTCTGGCATCTATTTTTTTACTTCTCTTTATAGTTTTTATCTCTTCTGATATTAGATTAGGTTGAGAAAAAAATACTTCCAGGCTGGTGGGAGATTACACAGGGTGTGTCTATGATCCACTTTGAAATTTTTGTTTATATTCATGTCTAAATTGAAAACTTATCCCCCTCATATCCTGGGAAGGTATGTACTAGAATTCATACTAACCAATTCCTCTCACATCCAGGAAATGCTATTACATACTTGTTACAATATAATTATTATTTTCAGACCGATTTTGTTGATATTATTCAAACTTAGCATGTCATTTTGGTTTTGGATTTAAAAATAATAAATGAATTCTGATCAGAAAATTTTAAATGGTGGTAATTATTGATGTTAAATAGCAAAAAAAAAACATAAATAATATCTGGGTAAGTATGAGTTTTAGGGCAGTCATAGATAAAAAACCTTGTTACTTATTCTGACCGTATTTATATTTTATGACACTCTTCATATATTTTCATGATTTATACTTACTTAATCTTGTCTTTTACCCTTTCTTCTGCCATTCTTCTCTTCTTCAGGTACATTTTAGCCACATAGAACTTATTTTTAATTGTGTCAGTAGTAAATATAAAATTGAAGTCAGTCATGAATCCTAATATTTGACTGCTATATATTTTTACAAGTGTTTTGTAAGGAATAAAAGAATGTATTGATCTTTATAATCCAGGAAACTAATTTTTAAGTTGTGATGCACAAAACAATTAATCAAATAACGATGATGATAAAACCTCTTTCGAGAAGAACTGTTCGCCTCTTGTCCTGTAGGCTCCCCAAAGGACTATTTTGAGTCATGAATTGGTGAATGATCCAATGAATTGGTATCTGAATTAACATTGTATGCCCAAATAATCCTGTGTGTAAGGACAAATAGTATTTTTTGTAGCAACACATTTTTACAGAACTTTTTTGAAATTTTTCTAATCTTTTCCTTTACTACTCTAATTAATTATCTTCCGCTAGGAAGTGTCAGATTTGTGACTTAAACCTTTATTTGTACATTAGGATTTTGTCGACATTCCAATCACTGTTGCGTAGAAGGACAATTGGTGCATTTAACACGTCAGATGTTCTAGGAACTCCGACGAGAAGTAGTACAAACAACAGCCGGATGTCTCCGCCTCTGGGAGGCTCTGAGATGACGTGTGACAGACAGTTTGTGGTGTTGGTGTCGGAGAAGCAGGCCCGGGTGGTGGCGCTGCCTTCGCAAAACTGTGTCTACCGGCAACAACTCGCCGACACAGACTTTGTTGTCAAAGCTGAGATCATCTCGTTAAAAGGTATGAGATATTTTTATGTGGTGAAGGGTTGGTCTTTGGGACACGAGAATCAACAAAAATTCAGTTACAATCCAATCTTGTATTGTACGATGGCCATCCAGAAAGTAAGAGACATTTTAAATCGACGATGCTTGTGGCGGTGCGATTGCCTACACTTCCCACACTTAGTACCGTACGCATCCAGCTATAGGAGTGTGCCCCTCATATCTCTCTTACTTTGTCAGTATTATAGTGTTAAATAAGCGATGTCATTGCAAATCCCACCAGCTGCGAGGTAGGCTCTGATTTTTTGGCAAAAAAATCACAAGCAAATTTAAATTTATTACCAGATTTGTGATCTTTTTGGCATAGGAGTAATGATGGAAGGCAGAGTGTGACAGTTATGCATTGACTTTAAAAATGTCCTTACCAACATTCATAATAAGGACTGCGGTGGTAGGCTTATTGTAGTGACTGACAAACAAGTAAGTCAACGTCCAAACAAGTGGATGGTGGCGTCGTCCTGTAATCCAGATAATAGCGGTCACGAATTGTGGATATTTATAGGAATGTACTGTGGATGTGATACTCCCTAGTGTGGATTAAGGTTCGTACTACTGAGTACTACTACTATCCGCAGTACTATCCTGAAATTAGACCAATTCGTTAATTACAAGGCAAAAATGTGGTTTGAATTCCACTATAAACTGTAGGTCCTTTGGTTGCCATTGGCTGTATGGGCTATTAATTAACAGCTGTGTCCAAGGAATAATTTGGCCTTAGACACTAACAAGACTACTAGATCGCGCCACTCATCCTACACTAATCTCCAGTCATACTTGGCTTAAAAAACCTGCCTTCGTATGGTCACCATTTCAGATAAAAGTATTGGAGTAAATCTGTGAAAATTACCGTTTATAGAACGTCTGGAACATTTTCCCCGAATTTCTAGGAGTTTGGTTAGCTAAATCATGCATGAAAACTTGGTCCCCACAATTCTTTTGCTCAGTGGGTTTCTAAGGTATTAAAAGATTATTACAAAGAAATTTAACTTTTTGCAGCACTGACATTCCTGGGTGATTAATGGAAACAAAGTTTTAAACCATACTTTATTTCAAACAAATACACTGCTCTCACCTCACAACAATTCATTGACAGCACTCATTTTAACCCTAAAAATTTAATGTTTTCGAGTCCAAAAATAAAATACTATTTTTACCCCATAAAACATAACCTACCCCTGTTCCCATAGTGTTTGTCGATCAGTTTGTGTGTTTTCCTTTATTAATTTCTACAAATAATGTTTTGTTTAACTGACTGTTTTGTTTATCTTTGTTGCCAACAGACAGTGTGTGTTTGGTATGCTACATCTCCAGTGGTCACATCACTGCCTACAGTCTACCGAGCCTGAGACCTCTCATAGACGTAGACTTCCTACCACTACCGGACCTCAGGTAACCTACACAAACAAGTAGTTGGAACTCGTAACAAGGCTAGTGAGACAGTTTGAGGTTAATGATGTTGCGGAGAACACAAAGGTGTAGGTTTTAAGAATTTGAGATAGTAGGCTTACCTGTATGGGGAAGAACTTTTTTGGTAACAATAGAGATTAGCTACCTTACTTGAGAAATTTTAAGTCCAGGAGCTGATAGATAGACAATTATAGAACACAGAACAGAACACGGATATTTCGTCCTCACGTAGGACTTCTTCAGAGAAATGTATTGAATGTGTGTTGATTCTCTTCAAACTACAGTGGAACCTCGATAAGAAGACTCTCGATAACAAGTCACTCTTGATAACAAGTGTATTTTTCAAATCCCATTGAATTTATTTTGCCTCTAAACACATGTTATTGTAAACCTCAATTAGAAGTCAACCTTGATAACCAGACTAATTTTATAATCCCCATGAGAGTCTTGTTATCAAGGTTCTGCTTTACTATCTGAAGAAGAGCTACACAGGAACAAATTTTAGCGGTATGTTTTGTGTTATTTTATTTTATAAAGCCCCTGGAATCTAATTTTTTCAGGTAAGCTACCTAAACTCTATTCCTTCTAAAAAAATTCCTGAATGAGAAAGAGTATGCTCTGGTAAAAGAAACACAAAACGTTACACTTTAAAAATATTAGAATATTTCATCACATCATTTTTAATCTAGGAAAGTTCAGTTGGATCATTGGCAGTGAAATATATTTTTTGTGTTCAGTGTCAATTGTTGTGTTTATCATACCAGAATAGACTCTTTTATGTTCAGAGCCTAATATTATCACAAAAAATACTTACAATGCTTTTGAAAAATTAGGGATGTACTGATTTTGTTAAATAATGAATTTGAAATAAAATGTACTACTTGCTAAACTTTCAATTTATTTTCTTAATTACAGTGTACTTGTATATTTGACCTTGTGTAAAATTACAGTTTTACTAAATTAAGTTATTGACTTAAAAAAGATTGTCTAAAATCACTTTTCACACAGAAGTAAACTATTAAAAGGTTTAAAGTATTACCAGTAAAGTAATATACTTTTTCTGAGACAGTTACTTACAAATCAACCTTCTCAAAAGTTTTGTTCTTTGTTGTAAAATATTTAAAAAAAACACGTATTCACAGTAATTAATATTTCACTGAAATGTTTAGATAAAAAGTTGGGAGCATACTAATTTTACTAAAAATACTAGTGTTTATAGATAATGGTAAAGCTTTCCAATATAGAGTACAGTAGATAGTTTAGCTACCAATGTTAATGGATTTGATTAATATAGACAGTTACAAAACCGTTTGAAATATTTATTACTATTATTATAAAACATTAGAGGTAGTTAGATAACTTTGGTTTTTTGTAAATGCTAATTAGATTTTTTTTATCAGAAGTAGATTTTTTTTTTAATTTGTCATGAGCTTTAAGTGTAACTAATTAGAGAATAGTACAGTAAATTTTTTAGGTGGCAATTTTACGTTAATGAGTGTTATATGTGTTAGATAAACTAAATTGTTCATCAACCTTGAGTTAATGACAGTTAAATATTGATTGGTGGAAGATACACGATTACATTTCAAGGCCGATATGCAAAAGCTGAGTAGACTAGAAGTGCAACGGCTGTGTAGAAGGCTGGCTGCTTGGCTAGTTGGCGATGCGGTTTGGCTGTGAGTGTTAGACGAGGCTCAAACGCAAAACGCAACTGAATTGCCTTGGCCGTACAATAGGCAACACATTAAGACTTCACTCTAACTCTTAATAAAAAAACATCAGCAAGTATTTAAATGTTGAAGTTCCGATCGGATAATTGTTTTATAATACTTTTGCAACATATGTAGAGTGAAGGCTTATAAGATTTTTGTTACATTGCATAATGTTTTTGGCTTTGAACAGCAAATAATTGTGTGAGACAGAATCAATGTTACTTTAGCTCAGACAAATTGTGTAATAATAACATCTAAAAGGGTTTTTGTCAACTGTTTAGATTAGAGTATTAGATTTCACATAGAACTATGGTTTTAATGCTTCCTCAAAAATCCTTTTGGCTGATAAATATCTTTTTTATATAGTAGTCTATTTTTCCCTTTGATCTCGGTTGTTTTACAGCTAACAAATTCTATCAAGCATATAGACAAGTGACTACATTATTTCTGAGTTTTAAACACAAGTGGTTAATTTAAGTTGTACACCGCTTATTCCCTTCACACGTTTAATGTTGTATGAGTGTACTATGTCTCAATGTGACTCCACGAATGTCGCACCCAATCACTGTGCACTAAATATCCACCCTAGGTTCAATTCTAGATCAGTGTTCACTGACTGAACACTCCGACAGAATACTCCGAAGAAAAATAGGTTAGTTTGTAAGTTAATAATGGACTATAAATCAATCGCATGGTTGCATGAGTGGTATAAACTTAATTTTTGTAAACTGTACATTTAATAATGTAATTTTCAGGACTTATATGAAAAAGTAAGGATTTAGCCGTCTCAAGTAATTTTTAATTTTGTAATTATTCTGAATTTTCAATTTTACCCATTAATTAGAAACATTTTTAAAGCAGGTTCTATTCATAATAATTATTTAAATACATTTTTTTTATTATATCTTAAAATAATCCATTTATAGAAGGGTTAGGTTTATAATATTCAAATAATTTATCTTTCTTAAACCTTGATCCACCTGCTGAATTACTTAATGTCAGTAACATGTTTATAACATTTGTTGGGGATATTAGATCTAGTGTTTCTATTTTTCAAGGTGTCAATTTTGCCTTAGATTGAAAACATAAAATAAAATACATTCATTTATTGGCTTGTTTATAAATATTTGCAAATCACTATTTCAAAGTTCCTGCGGACATGAAATTTACCTGTAGTCTTTTTCTTTTTCTTCTCATAGTAATTTTTTCCTAACAGATAACTTAAGTACATGTTTTTTACTAACGTAGAAATAAACATTTTCCAAGGACAATGTGTAACGCCAAAGTTGTTTTTGTACACTCAAGTTAGTTGTAAGTAGTCTGAACGTTGCTCCGTGGAGTTTGACACAGCTGAGAGTAATTTGATGATCAGTTTTCAGACGAGGAAACAGGGAATTGTAGACCCCATGTTGTCCATTTGGGGCCAACAGATGTTTGTCAATGAGGACACAGATCAGTAAGTGGGCCATACACACACACTGCATACCGTTATCATACCATGACATACCATACACATACGCCAAACAAAATACGCCATATGGTCCCCAATATCCTAACGTTTGGTCAAATCTGTTTTGATTTGTACGCCAACGGCAATTTTATGGATGATGAGACTAAATCTTTTTCAGGAGAAACGGTTCACTTGCCGGGAAATTTGTTATGCTGGATATCAGACGGAAACATTGACCTTAGACTTCATTTAACGAGTCACCCAATGCAAGCAATTAGCCATTTAAAAAGAAATTATTTAATTGTATGTTTTGTGACGGCAATTATTTACATTTTACTCACACATACAACTGTGATTAAGATGATTGGTTGAATTTTAGCCTAATTGTTTAAATTATTTGCTAGGCTGTTATTTAATTTAATTATGTTATTATCTTCTTAATTGGTTTGTAAGTTTTTGTCTTTTCTTCATTTTTATTTACTTGTAACCATCCTTATCAATTTTACTTCTATTATATTATTCTTTTGCCTCAGTTCTACTTTTTTAAATCTGTATTCATTGGTTGTATTGTTTTATTTACTGAATTTAAAAATGTTGCTACAAGTTTTTATTTTAATTTTATTTTTAACTTTACTAATCGTACCGACTAACGGGTTTCAACAATCAAATTTGCCTCCGCACTACCAAACCTTGCCAAATATTTTGTAAATGTTTAACCATTCAAATTAAATGCGCAGCTAATTGTGCGTCCTGTCTTAAAGAAGTGATAAGTGAACTACATTTTCAGGAAAATGGTGAAATGAATAATTTATTTTTGCATGTAATCCAACACTGAAAAGACAGTTCACTGTAAATATTTTTCACCGAGGAAACTCAAATGTATGTTTTAAACTCTGCTTTCAACCACCTTCCCCCACCACAGCACACACATCATATGGCAAAACACGTTTAATATTCAACAATCTCTAAGTTTAAGAAAGCTTTTCATTGTTGTGGTTTGTGCCTGCTTTTGACATCATTGCATGATTGTTATTTGTTATGTTGTCCTCATCTTTAATTGACATAGTTGGGGACATTTGGTCAAATGAGCATGACTTTTTAATTTTTACAATTAGTTGTTTATCTTTACCTAGATTTAAGATTACTTAAACATGTTTCTCCTAAAAGTCTCATTTTAATGTAATTTTTTACTGTATGTTAAAGGTAGTTTTATAAACTTCTTAAACATATTTTTTTTTACTTGTAATAAAGTATAATAACGTCTGGTCAGTCTAATAAGATTTAATAGGATTATTTTTTGTGTAAATTTTGTAGTCTTGTACGATGGACCAAAATCTGTTATAAACTTTTCTTCCATTTAAATTTTAATGCATACAAATTATTTTAACAACGATTTATTATTAAAGAAATAACATTTTTCATATGTTTTTTAATTTTAATGTGTTAAAATATTTTTATGGCATACACTTTAATGGACATTTAAGCTTATCATACATTTATCAATTGAACATTAACATTTTTTGCTCTTAAAATTAATAAGTTGAAATTCGAAAAATATTTAACCAAATATTAATAATTTAAGTTAGTTAGTTTAACATGTGTAAAGTACGGTATTTTTGCGTTTGAGATAATCCTGTGAGTTTTTGAGTTAGCAATTTGTAACTACATTTAAACAATTTAACACATTAGCTACCAACTATGCTCATCCCTCAGTTACAGAGGAGTGTGACGGTCGGTAGGGAACGTGTTAAAGACATTTTTGTTATCCTCTGTCCGTTAGAGTTGTTAAGATTTTTGACATAGAAAGGTGCTTTATGCATGGATGGAGCACGCTTCTTAATACTGCTCTTTGTCCATTCACTTTAAGCCCAACACTAATTTTTCAGGATAAAGAATATCTTTAGATAATGAATGATTGAGAATCCCCTTTCAAAGAACAGTGCACTGTGTTGAGCTTATGGAGACATTTAGGTAGAAAAAGAATATTTAGCACTTTAAATATTCATGTAAGTTAATAATTTCAGATAAGTTTGCAGTTTGAACCTAAATAGTTACAATTTCAGAATTAAAATGTTTAGTAAAACCATGTCGTGACCTAGTAAGTTTAAGTAAAAAACTCAATTTTATTGATATTGTTTTGGAAACTTTTTTTTCTGAATAGGAACAATTTGTTACAATCATACAGTTAACAGTACTTCTCAGTCGTCAAATATAAAATATAATTAATAAATAAACTAAGACATATTATACTAATAGATGGAGTACCTACTATGTTTAAGAGATTTATTAAATTTACTAATAACGGTTCGCACATTTTTAACTGGACAAGATAACAAATAATGAACAAAGTCACCCTGTACTTTTTAAATAGTGACAATCTGAAATGTTTTAGTTATAACTTATAAGCAAGAGTTCAAATCTGGCCAAAGTCCCGCATCGCCCAAGCATGATGGTTCCCTTTTCACAGAATATGGAATGTATCCAAATATCTTGAATTGTTTATACAAACTGCATTTAAGGATATTTTAATTCGACCCATAATTTTATGGTATAGTGCCTTTATTAGCTCTGCATAAATTATCGTCCACAATTTGCATGGAGGATGGTTTAAATTTATGTCTAAGAATGTGATTTTGCATTTTAATAAAACAACACATTCAATAACCATGTAATTAATAACGTATTAAATTAATAGTTCAATAAACTGATAAAACTCATCAAAGTAGTAAATGTATAAAATAGACTTTGGATGTTGACAAAAAATTAAATAGAAACTGAAAAGATTAAACTTAAAGGAAAACCAAACATTAACACTTTTGCTACCAAAATTCCATAAAATTTCAAAAATAGGACTGAAGAACCGACTTAATGCTTACAAAAAAATTGCAACATTTCATCAACTCAACTTTGTGGTGGTGATATGACATCTTGAGTATTTTACTCATAAAAAATTAGGTACCGAGAAAATGTATACATTTTTATACAGTTTATGAGGAACTCGGCTCATAAAAAAAATTAAGTTGGCCTTTTTTAAAAATAATATATTTTTAGGACATTATTGCAAATTTGTATAGAGACTCTAGAAACGAATATTATCTAATTTGATTCAAATGTAGGATTAAGTTCTCATAAGCCTAATCAAGTTTCAAGCTATAGTCCATGTGAACTCATTATGGTTACAAACAATTATAAGCATATGAAAAATTGCACATTTGTTATTTATTCTTGCCTTTGGTTTTTCTGAATTACTCTATCACCTAATTCACCTAATCATCAAAGTTCTGTTTGGTAGCAAAAGTGTTAATCAAACAAACGATACTTTAACAGTAAATCTATTAAGTAAAGAAATGCACACCTTACACCATATAAGTTATCCAACAATTTTCTTTTAGTTTTTAAGAGGATGTTAAACTTTTAAAAAGTAAAAAACAATATATAACTTTCCATTTATAAAAATCACTTTTGGTTAGTGTTTACAAAATTTTTAAGTAAAAGTAAATTAAAATTCATTTTCATAGCCCCAGGATTGCGTAATATGACATATAATGGTTAAAACATACCTCGTCAGACAATCCTTAACATGTAGTGTCGAAGTTGCTACATATGTTTCGGCGGTTATTTACTGATCTCCACCATCGCCAGGCAAACAAAAGGATCCACTTGATGTGTCGTCAGAATAAATAAAACAAACATTTTACAAAACATAAAAACGAAAATGATAGGCCTATCAATTACACGCACTGCCGTGGACATGGCAGGAAGCAGACTGAACGTTATGTTGTTTGCCTGACGATGGCGGAGATCAGTAAATAACCGCCGAAACATATGTAGCAACTTCGACACTACATGTTAAGGATTGTCTAACGAGGTATGTTTTAACCATTATATGTCAAAAGTAAATTACTGAAATTAATACAAGTCTTCTGGTCTCAATTTATATAAGTTTTTTGTTTTTTTTTTACTGGGAGTGACCAGCCAGAACAAGCTAATTAAGTAATGCATTGGATGTGTGGAAAGTCACAAATAATAAAATTTAAAAAATTTGAGAAATTTAGGAAATTAAAAAATTCCCTACAATTAATTTTTGTAAAACAATAAATTTAATGCATGATTCGCTGCAGAAAAAGTATGTCTGCATGTTTTAAAATCAGAAAAGTTACACAACTAAAAACACAATAAAACCAATAGTACAACCAAATTACTACAAATTGCACAGCTGTTTGAATGTTGCATTAAAAATTGCGCTTATAGACGCTTACAGCAAAACAAAACTACATCGGAACAAAAACAACAGCAAAAACTTAATGTTTGCAAACTACAAACGTTGTGTTTTAACATCCTCTTTGTTGTATTTTTCAAAGTTGTCTTTGTAACTTACCGAATACACCTTCTAAACTTAAATGATTTAAATCATAAATTTTTTATCGGTTTAAATAACAACAATAACAACCGAAATAAAAATGATACTATAACAAAACAAAACAAGCTAACATGCAATAAACTAAATATTGCAGTTATAAATAGGTGATAGACTGTAAAGTTGGTAGCACTGATCAATGTGATAAATTAATTATGTTAGTAACACTGAAACGTGATAAATCGTGTTGGTAACACTGGACTGGCAGCACTGTATACCTCCTGAGCATGTGGGATAGTTTAGCCCCGTCTGTTGGTGTTCCAAACTCACGCACACACACAGACACCTAATGGCCCACCGTCCCGTAATATATATTTATATCAAAGTTTTTTTTCCTCTAGACGACTCAGCCATTTAACTACAGTAAGTCAATTTGTTTAGTTTGTGTCAGTTCAAAGTATTTCTGTGTTTTTACCATCAATCCATTATGTATATTTACAGGAGTATTTCTTTGTTTACATGTTTTACTGGTTAACTTTCCAGGATTTTATCAGGTTTAATTTTTGTATTCAGATATACATGTGTGCTTATGTTTTTGTGCTTTTTGCTTCAGGTGTTTTAACGATTTAATTGTTGTTAATCTTACAGGCTTTTGTGTAAGTTTATTTTAATGAGTAATGAGTATTATTATTAAGCAGTTTGAGTGTTTTATAACGATTAGGTTCTTGAAAAAAACCTTCATATAATCAAATATTTTTTCTTTATACACAAAAAAGATTTTGATTAGATGTAGATAATTTAGCGCATTGAGTTTAATTTGACTTAAAAAACAACGGTAAGTTTACCTTGTTGAAACTAACTTATAACCTTATCTTGCACAGTTCTAGGTCAGTAGCGAGTTGTAACATAAAATGTTTTACTTTGTGTAAAAATAAAAGAGTAGGCCTACTTTTTCACCTTTTTTTGTAGTTGAGAGTGTAATTTGAGAGTGTGCAAGTAGTTGTAGTGTAAAATTACAAGAGAAAGTATACAGTCAACTCACTCATTTTTTACATATTTTTTTTAATTTCAATCACAAAAGGAACTATAGTTAAAAATTTTACTGTGCCTTCTCGTCATCTGTCGTCTAAACAATCCTATTCTTGGCTTAAGTCTGTTACAAAGCTACATAGATTTTACACCATTCTACTCCTTATTGGAATTTAGCTTGAAATCATCAAGGTGTCCACACTGTCTTAAAAGTAATGAATGAATAATGAATATAAGAAAATGTCAAGTGCTTACCGTACTAGTTTCGGGTGATATAACCCTTTCAAATCCAACATACACTGGATCAGATGACCGTAAACAGGTAATCCTTTGAAACTTTTCATAGGACTGTAGACAGATAAGGTACATGAATCTTTATATATTTTGATTTATCAGTCTTGGTGGCAAGAATGTTTGAAAAAATAATTACTTTTTGTTCAAATCACTGATAGACAACATATTGTTTTACGTTTTACTGTCATGTTGTTGTACTTGTTCAGTATAACAAATGTCAATGTGACTGAGTGACTGTGACTATTCGCTTTTCGCTTGTCTGGTAGTGACAGAGTGATCTCATCGTGGTTTCACCATGAAGTCTTTCTAGAGATTTGTCGTTGGTTGCAGGATCGCTCGTACTTTCTGCTTCAGTAACCGAGGACACGGTCTCTTCCTCAGTTCTCCATCAGAAGTTCAGAAGTTCACGGTGTCTGCAGAGTTCTGGTACGGATACATTTTGTGTTTGGCTGGAAAAATTTGCGTCTTCACTAGTGTGTTGGATTTCACATTTGAATTTGGAAATATCAGACGCATACAGAAATTTAACTTCATGATAGTATAGCGTCAGAATTAACTTACCATTAATTATTGAAAGTAGTAACTACTTGTTACAGCTGAGTTGTTATACTAACCTGACAGTATAGGTTGCTAGTTCCTGAGAAAATTCAGTAGCTTTTTGATGGTTCAAAACTGAACGTTGACCATTTGGTTTTAGTAAATGATCCTTGAACAAACGGAAACGGCTTATCTTAGTAACAAAGCTACATAGTTCATCTCACACCATTGAACACTCACCTTGTATTCACTTACACCAAAATATGTCGTAGAGTGTTTGTTGCTGTTAAAAAAAAAACATTATTGATTGATTGGTAACTTTTGAAGCCTTGTAGGTTTTATACAAAGTGATTGGTACTCAGTGTTACAAAAAATTGTTGGTGTAAGTACAAAGCAAATGAAGTGTGATGATGCATAATATCAAAAGGTTCCAAGTCTAAAAATTAGCTTCCCAAAAAATTATTTTATGTTTTTTCAAAAATAACTATGTTTTTAAACTTAATACAGCAATTCCTCAATTAGGCTACCTGTATATGGATTTGAGTAGATAATGTCATTTTCGTGTTCTACATTAAATTTTGAATAAGAATAATAGAAAATTACGGAGGATCAGTTGTAAAAACTCCATTGTAAATAGATTCAAAGATAAAAATTAAGATGTTTGATAAAAATTGAAAAAAAACATTGGTCTATTGCATTTTTTCACACCCTGTATACAAGAAATTGTCCGAATATGTTAAAAACTGCGTCATTTTATAAGCTTTCCAACCATATGCTACACTATTTAGGTTTAGATATTCTTTTGTTTGTTTTAGTGTTTTGAATACCAGAAAACAGGAAACCTTTTACTGTTCAAGCTGAAAAAAAAACAAATTTTGCTTAATACATGCCGACTTTCTATGTTTTAAATGTTTTGTATAAATGTTTATGTAAGACAGACACCATGTTTTGTAGTCTTCAAACCACTAAAGCGTACATAAGCAGATATAAAGCTCAATGGTGTAGCATATGGTTGGAAAGCTTATAAAATGGCGAAGTTTTTACCATATTCAGACACTTTCTTGTATACAGGGAAACAAATGCAATAGACCAATATTTTTCACATTTTTATCAAAAATCTTAATTTTTATCTTTGAATCTATTTACAATGGAGTTTTTACAACTGATCCCCCGTCATTTTCTATTATTCTTATTCAAAATTTAATGTAGAACACAAAAATGACATTATCTACTCAAATCCATTTACAGGTAATTGAAAAATAGCTGTATTAAGTTTAAAAACATAGTTATTTTTGAAAAACGTAAAATAATTCTTTAGGAAGCTAATTTTTAGACTTGGAACCTTTTATATGCATCATCACACTGCATTTACTTTGTACTTACACAAAAAAAATTTTGTTACACTGAGTACCAATCACCCTGTATAACAGAATTGTCCTTAGATTAAGTTTTTTTTTTACAGTCAATAATGCAATGTTGATGGTTTTCCGCAGTTCTAGTCTGGTGGAGATGGTAGGAGAACTGTTCCTGCCTCATGACATGCCCGAACCTCCGAAACAGAGCTTCTTCCAAGGTCTGTTTGGAGGCGGCTCACGCAACTTGGACAGGGAGGAGCTTTGTAAGTAAATTAGTATTTGTGTTCAGTTAAGTACGCCAAGTAGTGGTTTTATCCAAAGAAATTAATTAAGTCATAAATGTTTAAATTACAGTGTCTACTCACAGGGGATTCCGGAAAGCCGGGGATCCTAAAATTTGCTAATTTCAAATTGTTTTAAATTGTTTAAAAATCTATTGGTTAGCTATGACAAAAACAAAATTAGCACCAGTCCAGTTGTTAAAAATCAATAAATTACGGCATCAACCGATTGGTCATAACATCTTGTCCAATACAACTGTTACAGTCGGAGAGTCTAGTGGGAGAGCGTCGCGAAGTGTCGCTAAGCACATCCCCGGGCCGTCCGCGCAGATACAGGAGTTGAACCAACGCGCGACCTCGGCCAGCAGCGAGGTGTCTCGCGCACACCAGCTGATGGTGGAGCGAGGCGCAAAGCTCGGACAGCTGGAGGAGCGCACAGAGCGCATGATGGGCGAGGCAGAGAACTTCCAGACCTCCGCGCACAGTCTCATGCTCAAATACAAGGACAAAAAGTGGTACCAACTTTGAACGCTGCAGACCTAAATTTATACACTAACAACTTAAGAAAAGAGTTCTATTTATAACGTAGGATAGACGAAGGCAATTTGTATGTACATTGTGCCTCTGTACTCTAATGTAGGTCGATACCGATATGCTAACCACCCCGAGCTTTAATATTTTTATAGTTTCAACAAGAAATCCTACAGTATTTTATATACCCTATGGACTCAGATGTATCGTGTGTCTGGAACATGTCTTTTGTAAAGTTTTGTTAGATGTAGTGGTTGTGTGTGTGTTTGTCCAGAACTAAAAGTTAGACATTGCTGAAAATATCTTAACATTTTAACTTTATATAATTATATCGCTTCTAAACAACAAGTATTGGGTAAAATGCTTGTGTTTTTAGAAGTAGTAATCATTTAATATACACTTCAAGAGTAAACCAGTATTTAATCTTTTTGCATAAATCAGCTCAATTTCATAAAATGAAGAATAAGTTTTAGCCATTTATGGTCGAATCGGAATGTAAAATTTTGCATTTTCCTTTTCCTTGATTGTGTAACCTATCGTGAACAATGTAAATTTTTATTTACAAAGCTTGATAATGTTAATGCTTAGCAATATTTTTTTTCTTTTTAAAGTGTTATCTTTTATCTTGGTAAAGTATTTTTTGTGAGTGGCAGGAACCACTTTTTCAGTTGTCAACCTTGATTTTGTCAAAAACTAATGTACACAAATCTCTAGTTTTGTCTTACCAACTGTAAGTGGCACACATACAACCACTACACCAGTGTTCAGAGATGCAGGTTGTCTCTTATTAATTTATATTTCAACTGTTTACATTCTGTTCGGCTGTGCTTGGGCTACATTTAGCATTTCATTTCCATTTCTGGTCGTACACTTTGCTGACCGTGTATCTATGTATATAAGACCCACAAATCTCGTACTTACGCTATACATTGTGATACCTTGGTCATGATTGTTATCGTATTGTTAGATGCAGATTATATTGTTTGTTGAAGGCTGTTGCATTTGTTGTATTTTTTATTGTTATTGTAGCGATGTTTAGAAGCAGTATTCTTTTATTTTGTGTAATATACCAAAAATAAAAAGCGGTTAATGTTTTTTGTGTGTACATACTACGGTGTTGCAATGACTCCTTGTATTTACGTGTACGGTTCCCGAAGGGACGAAGCTCATTGCATGATCTTCCTGTAGAGGTCTAGTGTTGCTTATCCTTAAGTACGTTCACATATTGATCAATTAGATACTGTTTGATATTGATAGTGTAACGGTTTTTCCTGATTTGGTTGATGTTAAACTTTGGGTAGTGTTGTTTTTGTATGATAATATTACGTGAGTTTTATTGTTTTTTGTATGGTTCAAAATGTGTTTATACTTTTAGCCTAAATAGGTTGGTTCTATTTACTCTAATCTGTGAATCTCCTATCTTTGTTCTACTATTTGTTAAGTTTTTTAATTATTATTATTGTAGTTACTAGTGATAAATTAGTTCAAATGAGTTACAATTATATATTACTTACCATTTATTACAGGTTTTATTGTTTGTGATATATTTTTGTCTTATAAACATAGTCATCCTTTCTTGCCATAAAGGGATGAGCCTAATATATGAACATTATAGTTTATTTAACTTTTATCTTAATATATGGATTTCTTGTTTTATCTTGGTCAAAGTTTACATCAACCAGATTAAATTTTAAAAGGCACCAAAAATAAATATAACTAAAGAAAACCATTTAGACATTTAAAGTTATTGTTAAAATATATTTACTATAAAAAAACTAATCAAAAGTGTTAAGATATTAAAATATAATTGTAATCTATTGTCTTGAAAGCAATAAGATTTTGTTATTTAAATAAGAATGTTAAATTTAATTTAACCACGGCCTATAAAAGAGCCAATCTTATTTTGTAATATTTGTTTTTTATTATGAGAGAGTATAGTTAGATCTAAATAAATATAGCTCTTTGCCTGTTAATTCATTTGAATGTTGACATCAGACAAAAATAATTCTTTAAAAGTTCACTACACTGTACTATAAAAATAATATTTTAATGTTTGCTATAATTTGTTACATAAAGAAATCATAAAACACTGTAAAAGATCAATTTAAAAATTATGTACTTATAAAACAATAAATGTATGACAACATTATTGTCGCTATGAATAAACTTTCCAATATAAATATCACACTCCCTAGTGGAAGTATCACTAAGCAATCATTAAAAAATTAAGTGATATCACTAAAAATCCTATTGATTTTTAATGATATCATTAGACATCATTTAATAACATCATCTAACCAAACAAACCTAGTGATGTAACTAGATTTGTTTTTAATGATATCACTAAAGATCAGTATAGTCATTAGAAATAACTAGGATTAAATTGTTAATCATTAGGTTTCTACTGACATCACTATAATCATCAAGCCAGTCACTACAAGTCATTAGAGAATTTAGTGATATAAACTTAAAATCACTACAATTGTTAGTTAAATGTGAAAGATTCAAAACTGACTGTTGGGTATAGCCAAGCAAACTCAATATGATGTAATACAATAATTTATTTCCTTATATTTAAATTTGAATGTATATTAGTGTTACAAGGTACATTGATCTGAGCTTAAAAACCCCTTTTGATGCTTTGTCAAAGAAAGTAGAAAAATTGGGAATGTTATTTAAGTTATATGAGGTGAACTTTAAATAAAACTTTATTGAATTATAATATTTTTGGAATCCTAACCTGTTGAGTAGTTTTATTTATTTATTCGCGGTACAACCATTTTTAAAGGGTTGACATGCTGACATTATAATGCAATATTGAAAGATTGTGATTCAAGATGAACGAAAGGTGATTAATGAACCCAAGTGAGATACTACGCCGATTTTAAAATCTGCATTTTGCTGCAGATTTGTAGGCGAGGGGATTGTCGGCTGGGAATCTGTAACGTACAGGTTGTTACCTGTCCGCGCACACGGTCGACTAAAAAATCGGCCAGTCGCCGATCTTTCATTGTACAGTATTTCAATAACTATAAGATCTTTACAACCATTAAAACATGCTTAGTCAAATTTTTGTAAGTTTTGTTTCCAAGTTTACCCCTATTCAATCAAAGCTGGATTACCATATATTATTAACAGGTATTTTTTAGAAAGAAATTGTCCAAAAATCCGTTGTCCAACTTATAGTAACAGTTTATCAAAACTTTCAACAGAAATTCTATAGCAATTAAAAATTTTTTAATGTCATCTCGTAAACAGTGTGCAGTTTATAAAACAGCCCATTTTAAAGTCTCTAACTTGCTATCCGATGAACCCAATATTTACAAAAACTTCTTTTTTTCTTTGATCTAATTAGAAGAGCACAAACATAGGTTAATTCAACAAAGTCCATTTTAGGATACCTTAACGATGCACTCAAAAAAATTCATTTCTTGACTAAAAATCGCCACGTGTGCGCCTAAACATAAAAATTGCCACGTGTGCGCCTAAACAAAAAATCAACTGTGTGCGCTTAGCCAACAATTTAAGTGTTTAATTGTAAAACTTCAATTGACTTCACTGTCCGGCCGCTTGAACGTGCGGATGTCCACAACCTATCTCCCCCTCCCAGACAGTTTCAACCCACAAAAAATGTCCCGGAAGACCTAACGAAGCCAAACGTGGACGCCCGAAAGTTTTGGAAACTACACGGGAAGAGCAAGTGCAGGCGGCTAAAAGGAATTATAGGGGGACGCACACTCAAATCAAATCAGGGATAACAAAAAACAATACTCCAAAGACCACCCTGAGGTAAATAGAGCGGCTGTTGGGCGTTATAACCAAACACACCCTGAGGTCAACAGGGCGGCTGTTGGGCGTTTTGCCAAACACACCCTGAGGTCAACAGGGCGGCTGTTGGGCGTTTTGCCAAACGCACCCTGAGGTCAACAGGGCGGCTGTTGGGCGTTTTGCCAAACGCACCCTGAGGTCAAGAGGGCAGCTGTTGGGCGTTTTGCCAAACACACCCTGAGGTCAACAGGGCGGCTGTTGGGCGTTTTGCCAAACACACCCTGAGGTCAACAGGGCGGCTGTTGGGCGTTTTGCCAAACACACCCTGAGGTCAACAGGGCGGCTGTTGGGCGTTTTGCCAAACGCACCCTGAGGTCAACAGGGCGGCTGTTGGGCGTTTTGCCAAACGCACCCTGAGGTCAACAGGGCGGCTGTTGGGCGTTTTGCCAAACGCACCCTGAGGTCAAGAGGGCAGCTGTTGGGCGTTACAGCCAAACGTACCCTGAGGTCAACGGGCGGCTTTTAAGCGTTACAGCCAAACACACCCTGAGGTCAACAGGGGAACTGTTGGTCAATATAGCCAAGGAAATCCTGACACCTCTCGACAAAGGGTGCAGATTTTCCAGTTACATAATCCTTTGCTGTCTCACCTTTGTCACTTGCCAGCTACACTTGCTCGGCATATTTCTCAACACCGTCCTATGGGGTCTTGCGAGGGAGAGTTGTTGAACAAAGAAACTCCTAAAGAAACTCGAGGAGAAACTGCGAGGGAGAGTTGTTGTTCCTAAAGAAACTCTGAAAATGGTTTATCATGCTTATGTAGAATCAGTATTGAGGTATAGTATAATCTTATGGGGTCAGGCTACCGGAGTCAAATCAATATTCAGGCTACAAAAACGCATTATCCGTATTATGACCAGCTCTCATCCACGTAGTTCATGCAAAAATCTTTTTCGAAATTTAAAAATCCACACCCTAACAGGACTGTACATCTTGGAATCACTAAACTACATTCATTCAGCTAAAAACGACCTCCCAGAATCAATTCAAATCAACCATAGATATAATACTCGAAATGAAAACATTTTTAGATTTCCAAGGCACCATTTGACCCTTTATGAAAAAAGTCCACTATATGCTGGGCTGAGGCTGTACAATGTGCTGCCTGCAAACTATAAATTGCTAAATGAAAATAATTTTAAAGATAAAATAGGTGAACTCTTAATTGACAGAGCCTTTTATTTAATTGCAGATTTTCACAATGCCCCTTTAGTTTAGAATAGTTTTATCATTCAATTTTGTTAATTTATATTATCATATTGATTACTATTTTATTTTTAATATTCTGACAATTCGAACTCTGACAATGCACCTATTCTGTATGTAACACATGTAAAGAATGTTATGTGCAAATAAAATATGTCTATGTCTATGTCTACAATATTCCAGCTTTTAGTCTAAAAAAATTAGTCTTTGGGACAGTGAAATCTTCAAGTGTACCTACTGTGGGGCTAGGCTTTTTGAGGAGGAAAAGTGTTGGAAGAAGTGGTTTTGCGGACAAGGGGCATACACCGTCCTTGATCTAAGTCCTCTTGATGAAACCTTCTATTCCGATCGTTGTTTTCTCGACAGGGCTTTCTTTTTGTAAATCGGTCCCGTCTTTTACATCGACGGCGAAGAAAGGCAGAACATTGCTTTGGTTAGATCACTTGACGGTGTCGTTGATGCCTCTTTCACTTGATACCTGTCACAGCAAAATCCATACGTCTCTCACTATCGGCGTTTGGGTAGTGAGCCAGCTGTGAACGCTCACTTGGATTTCCAAGTGACAAGTAGATCCACCCTAACCATGGTCCCGTTCTAGGTGACAGGCAAACAGGTATTGATGTGCACGCTGTCCCAAGCACCAATGAGACAGTTTACGAGCCCCACAAGCTATCTGTATGGAAAGTTGGATCCGGTCGACCCACTTCTATCAACCTTTTCAGTCCTCCACTTTCAAAATTAAATTAAATTTAAAAAACTTAAACAGGCAAAATAGCAAACCCTATTCTTTTGATTTAATAGTTTCATCAGATCTGTTTTAGCAACTGACGTTAAATTATGCCACATACAAAATATTAAAACCATTAGCATAACCTCAAAATATGGTCCTACTGCTGTTAGGCAAGGTGGAGTTGGAATTATCACGTTGATAAGATTGTTCAGTAGGCCTAAACCCACTGAAATTACTTTCATTGTCATGATTGTCATTTATTAATTCTTCGAGTGTCAAATGAACCTACATCTGAAGTATCTGAACTTTCAGTTGTCAAAAGTATCAAGGTCTAAATGGAAAAGCTCTGAGTCTACAGACTTAATCAGGACTATCATTTGACCTATCAACGATTTGGCAATCTATAATTTCATATCAACATACTAACTTTTACTACAAAACAAAAACCTGACAAATAGGCCTACTCAATAAACAACACAATAAGAGCCACAGACGACAAATGAAACTAATGTTAACATTACTAATGAATGATGATTGAATGGATCACAGCTGAGTTGCAAAGAGGACTGTTACAGTGCATAGAGGAACAATAGTAGTCTATTAAAACGTATTTTGGTAGGTGTACTGGGAAGTGGTTTTATTTTAATACTGTAATTTGAAAAGTGGTTATTCTTCAACTGCAAGTCCATATTAGTATAGTTCCCTAAAATATCAATTTACGATTTGCGCAAACTATAGTGCTTTCGTCATCCGTAATGAAGAAAGAGGAGGGGAACGCAGGAACCGGAAAGACAACAGAACTAGAATACAAACCCATAGAGGAATTAAATTATCTAAGTCACGGAAATATAATTAATTATACATTATTTATTGACTTTTTATAGTCATTTTGCACTGCATGTATATTTTGCTCAGCATGTTTTTTTACGCTCTAAAAACAACACAAATTTGGTAATACACAATACGTTTATATCTAATTTAAACATGTTAAAATTATGCATGTCATGCATATGGATACGTCAAAAAGTGGATTACATGTTGCAAAAACACAAGTGAGAGATAATAAAGTACATAAAACATTCAGGCATTAAACAAAATAGTCAAAAAAAGTCAAATACGTAGAGTAATAATTACTAATTAAAACATAAATTTTGTCTTACAACTCAAGATCATACGATCATACTAATCATACTATTAAAGTAGACTATATACATGTTAAAATAATGTGGTGTAGTAATAATAGAGATCGATGGGTAATTGCAACTATAATTTCAACATGTAGCCTACATTTTTATTTAGTGCATACAAAAACACGCTATGCAAAACATACACGCTGTGCAAAATGACTATAAAAGTCAATAAAAAATGTATAATTAATTATATTTCTGTCACATAGATAATTTAATTTATCTATGGGTTCGGTTTGGATTCTAGTTCTGTTGTCTGTCCTACCCCTGCGTAGTGCGTTCCCTTCCTCTTCCGCCATTATGGACTACGAAACGAAAGCGATAGTTTGCACCATTCCTACTATACATAATAAGCAATAGTATATTTACAAAATTACATAGAAAAGATTTTAATTTTAAAATACTAGCTACTTGGGATGTATAAAAAATAAAATGTAAGCTCAATAAAACAATGGGGGAATTGCGGCACCATCTTCAAATTGAATGCTTTGAATTTTACGTCTAGTTCCCCGTAGCCTAAGCGAAACTGCTCGAATGATGGAAAGCTGGCTTTGGATTCTCAACCATCCGATAATTTGGGAGTATGGTTTTCTCCATTTTACAGCCAGGGCTTCGCTTGTTCTCCTCTGAAACGCTTCATATTTTTTGTGGGGGACTCCTTCCGTACTTGCAGGTAAGTTAAATATCTTCAGGCTAGGCCTATGATTAATTATTATCCAGACCTTAAGTTAGGCGAGAATCGCTTTAGTT